AGGAGTTTGAGGTTGCTGTGAGCCAGACTGATGCCATGGCACTACTCACTCTAGCCTGGGCAATAAAGCGAGACTCTGTCTCAAAAGAAATAAAAAAAATAAAAGAGAATGTTCAGAATCCTCTGTTTTAGTTATTTTGAAATACAGGGAGGCCCCAGGTTACAGACGACCCTGCTTACAGCATTCCATACTTATGAATGGGCTCCTGAGTCTCCCCATGAGGATAATTTATAATTAAATAAATTAGTAATTCGGGCCAGGTGCAGTGGCTCACGCCTGTAATCCCAGCACTCTGGGAGGCCAAAGTGGGAAAATTGCTTGAGCTTAGGAGTTCGAGACCAGCCTGAGCAAGAGTGAGACCATGTCTCTATCAAAAAGAAAGAAAAAAAAAAACCAACTGGGCATGTGCCTGTAGCCCCAGCTACCCAAAGGCTGAGGCAAAAGGATCGATTACTTAGAGGCCAGGAGTTGGAGGTTGCAGTGGGCTATGATGACCACTACACTCTCCCCAGGGCAACAGAGAGAGACTCTGTCTCAACAACAACAAAAAGCAAGGCAACTGAACACCCCTCCTCACATCCCTCCACCTCTTTTGGAAAAATAAAATTGGAGAACTAGTTTTTTCTGTGCCCGAAAAGAAATCTGCATGGTGTAATTGGGTCATTGGTGTGGTATCTTTATGCTAGGGGCTAGTCTCATTGTTTATATGGTTGCTTACACACAGCATCACTTTTGTCTTAACTTTTTAGTGAAATTTTGAGTTTGTTTTTATGCTGATGACCATGCTTCCAAAGCAAAAGTCCACTGCAAGTCCACATGAGTCTGCGGTGGAGAGAAAGGTGATTACAATGGAAACGAAAGTAGAAATGATTAAGCATTCAGAGAAAGGCCAGATGCCATCAGTCACTGGGAAAGCATCAGGCTTCAGTCACTTGACTATTGGAACAATGATAAAGGATGAAGTGAGAATACTGGAATATCAATTATTACTAAGCAGCATAGTGGAGTCATTAATGAAATGGAAAAGTTGTGGGGTTAGAAGATCAAAATAAGCGTAACTATTAGCCTAGTGTTGCTGCAACATTAGGTGAGTGTTAACTTTTAATATTCTTTTTTGAAATTTCTCCCATTTCCTATCTAAACTTTTTATATGAGTTTGTTTTATGTTCTGTTTGCTTGAATTAAAAGAAACAGCACAATAGTTTCTATAACTTAACTATTACAGTACAGGGTTGTTGTTATTATTATTGTTACACTATTACACTGTATCATTACCACATAGGAGCCCTTATAGTGTTGCTGTTATTATTATTATTGCATATATGTTGTTCAGCAGGGATCCAAGTTACATATAAATCTGACCTAAAGACATTCTCAGGAATGTATCTCATTGGACCACCTGTATATAGCACAATATTAACTATAGTCACCCTACTGTGCAATATAACACCAGAACTTACTCCTGCTGTCTATCTGTAATTTTGTACCTGTTGACCAATCTCTCCCTATCCTCACTGCTGACCCCCAGACTTTGGTAATCACCTAAGCACTGTTCTACTCTGTACGTCTATGAGATCAGCTTTTTAAGATTCTGTAAACGGGTGAGATCATACACTATTTGTCTTTCTGTGTCTGGCTTATTTCACTTAACATAATGTCTTCTAGGTTCATCCATGTTGCCGAAAATGATAGGATTTCATTCTTTTTTTTTTTCCTGGTCCCTGCTGCTTGAATCAGAAAGATTTCATCCTTTTTTATGGCTGAACAGTAGTCCATTGTGTATATATACCCCATTTTATTTATTCATCATTGATGCACACTTAGTTGATTTCATATCTTGGCTATAATGAATAGTGCTGCAATAAAGATGGAGTGAAGATTTTTTTTTTATATACTGATTTCATTTTTACTCAGTAGTGGAATTGCTGGATCATTTCTTATTTTGCATATGTGTGTTTATTCCTTTTTTTTTTTTTTTAATGTTTTTTAGAGACAGGGTCTTACTCTTACCCAGGCTGGAGTGCAGTGGCCCAATCATAACTCACTGTAATCTTCGATTCCTGGGCTCAAGCTGTCCTCCTGCCTCAGCCTCCCAGGTAGCTGGCACTATAGGCATGTGCCACCACACCCAGCTAATTTTTTTTAGTAGAGACAGGGGTCTCATTATGTTGCCCGGGCTGGTCTCAAATGGTCCTCCCACCTCATGCTCCACAAGTGCTGGGATTATAGGTTTGAACCACCACACCAGGCTCCTTTCTTTTCTTTTCAAGTTAGACAGTGCTTTGTCAATTTATTGGGAAAAAGAATTTTTAAAACTCCCTAAGATTGTGATTTATTAATTAGATCTGTTGAATTTCAGTTCTCTGCCTAATTTCTACTTTTTTCTTTTGGCATACTTTGTTCTTTTTCTAGTATTTTGACGTGAGAATTTAGTTCTTTCATTTTCATTGTTTCCCTCTTGTATAAATGTTTAATTAAGCCAGTGAATTTCTGCTGATCATTGCTTTAAATGTATCCCAGGGTTTCTGGTATATAATGCGTTTATTACCATTATTTTTCAGAAATTCCGTAATTTTGATTTGTATCTTCCTCTTCACCTAAGAGTTGTTTAATAGAAGTTTTATGGGGTTTTTAAATTTCTAGGTGGAAGTGCCTTTTTGATTTTGTGCTTAATTATTTTATTCTGATGAACTTAATTCTAATTTACCTGGACTAAATTAGAACTTAATTCTAATTTATAATTCTTCTACTTTGTGGAACTTACTGATGCCTTGTCACCTAATGATCAATTTTAAGTGTTCCATTGTGCTTGAGAAGTTATATTCTCTATTATCTAGATATAAAATTTAGTATATATCTATAAATCTATCTTATTATTATTTAGGCATTTTTGTTTATTTTTCCATGAAATCGCCTGTTTGTTTTCCTTGCAAATCCTGTAGTTTCTGATACATAGCTTCATTGTGAAGTATAGCTTTAAGTATTAGAAGTGCCCTTCTGTGTCATATTGAATGCCTTTTGGCCTGAATTCTCCTTTGATAGCAGGATTGCAACCCTGCTTTTTTATTGTTTCCATTTGCCTGGTCTGTCTTTTTCTATTCTTTTTTTTTTTTTGAGACAGAGTCTCACTCTGTTGCCCAGGCTAGAGTGCGTGCCGTGGTGTCAGCCTAGCTCACAGCAACCTCAAACTCCTGGGCTCAAGCGATACTCCTGCCTCAGCCTCCCGAATAGCTGGGACTACAGGCATGTGCCACCATGCCCGGCTATTTTTTCTATATATATATTAGTTGGCCAATTAATTTCTTTCTATTTATAGTAGAGACGGGTTCTCGCTCTTGCTCAGGCTGTTTTTGAACTCCTGACCTTGAGCAATCCGCCCGCCTCGGCCTCCCAGAGTGCTAGGATTACAGGCGTGAGCCACCGCGCCATGCCTTGTATTCTTTTATTTGTAACCATTCTGAGGATGTGTTGGGATGTTCAGAGTCATACAGCTGCCTTTACCTATGTACTCTCTTCGTTTGCACATTTATTTTCTAATAACTTTCTTCATCTTCTGCGTGGATGGAGCCAGAGTCTCCAGGTTAGGGTAGTGTACATCTTTGAGTCTGGCAGGGGTGTCTGACCAGGGACCACTCCATGTTCCCACCCCATTCACCAGCTCCACACTGAGATCCTATCCATTCTTCCTGCGTGTGCCTCCATTGTCTCTTTTTTTTTTTTTTAATTTTTTTTATTTTTTTTTTTTTTTTTTTTTTGAGACAGAGTCTCACTCTGTTGCCCAGGCTAGAGTGCCGTGGTGTCAGCCTAGCTCACAGCAACCTCAAACTCCTGGGCTCAAGCAATCCTTCTGCCTCAGCCTCCCGAGGTGCTGGGACTACAGGCACGAGCCACCATGCCCGGCTAATTTTTTATATATACATATTAGTTGGCCAATTGATTTCTTTCTATTTTTATAGTAGAGACGGGGTCTCGCTCAGGCTGGTTTTGAACTCCTGACCTTGAGCAATCCGCCCGCCTCGGCCTCCCAGAGTGCTAGGATTACAAGCGTGAGCCACCGCGCCCGGCCGCATTGTCTCTTAAAAGTAGAATCAGATTGGAACCTCATACAAATAAATCCCTGAATTTTGCCTTGTAGGTCTGGTCAAATGTGAAGAACTAAGGAAAGCTATAAAATGGTAAAAGCTCTGGACATGTTGAACTCTGAAAGCCCAGATGGGTAGTGATTTGAAATACTTTGTAGATTGTGGCAAACATATGGCATTTGCTTCTGGGTTATTCAGATTGAAAATATAAAATTGCTTAAGAAGTTGTGACTGATATTACCATATCTTTGTGAAGAGATGGATTTTACTTATTCCTTCAGATTAGAACAAGATTTCTGATTATAAATAATATAGGCTTCGGCCGGGCGCGGTGGCTCACGCCTGTAATCCTAGCACTCTGGGAGGCCGAGGCGGGTGGATTGCTCAAGGTCAACAGTTCAAAACCAGCTTGAGCAAGAGTGAGACCCCATCTCTACTATAAATAGAAATAAATTAATTGACCAACAAATGTATATAGAAAAAATTAGCCGGGCATGGTGGCGCATGCCTGTACTCCCAGCTACTTGGGAGGCTGAGGCAGGAGGATTGCTCGAGCCCAGGAGTTTGAGGTTGCTGTGAGCTAGGCTGACGCCACTGCACTCACTCTAGCCTGGGCAACAAACCGAGACTGTCTCAAAACAAAAACAAAAAAATCCGATATAGGCTTATTATGAAAAATTGGGAAACCCAGACTAAGAGAGGAATAAGAAATTCCCCACCGTGACTCACGTTGCAGTTCCCTGTGGCCCTTGGGACAGGGCACTGGCCCGTTCAAGTGTTTCTCGCAAGTGACATCCTGGCAGACTCGCTTCTTTTCATTTAAGAGAATCAGTTACACATTTTTTCCAGTTAGTAAAAGACTAGTGAATACCCCTTCACTGAGCGTCAGACTGTCATAATTTTGGTATTTTCCCACAGAAAAATATGAAGATCTAAGTTCTTCGGATGAATCCTACCCTGTTCCTCAGAGACAGAGGCCCTGTAGGAAGAAGGGCCTCAGCATCCACGAGGGTCCGCGTGCCTTGGCCAGGATCACGGCCATTGGACTTGGAGGCAAGACCCCACGGCCCAGCTGTGGTGAGTAGTCCACATTTTCTGGTGGCTCTTTGCTGTTGCATCCAAAAATTCTGTTTTGATGAGAGCAGACATATTCTCAGCTCCTGAAACGTGGCCCTCTGGGCCCCAGGCTGCAGGGGATAGGTAGCCGGGCTTCTCATGCTTGAGTAGTGAGACTCAAAACCAATTCTAGTGATGGAAATCCATTAGTTGTGTGCTAGCTCTCTGTTTTTGGTTCATCTCCTTGACTTTCCATTGGTTATTAGAAACAGAACTTTCTCTCTTGCAGCAGAAATGTAGCTAAGCTCAGATTCCAGTCATCAGATATGTGGGACAGCTAGTGCAGGGAAGATGGGAAGTTTGACCTCCCACAGCCCTGGCTCTGCGCGTCACCTGGGCACAGCACCGTAACGCATTTGCTGGGCCGAGCTGGATGTGCCTCCAGGGGCAGAAGGCCCCGGGAAGGCTCTGCCCCTGCTGTCTTCTCAGGGCGATGGATTTGATCCCTCAGGCCCTTCTGAGAAGGTCCAGTTGGTAGTGCTAGAATCCTGTCTCCGAGTTTCCAGATCTGAGTTCATTCCCAAATTGTCAGCCTCTCAGTGTTGCTGGGAGTCCAACTGTTCTTTAGGCCAGCAGGATTTGGTGCTCTCTTTCTTTCTGGCCTTTCCAAGAGATCAGCCTGGGGTGTGAGTCACATCTTCCTTTGATGCCTGTCACCCATTCATGGCAAGGCCAAGGCTGCTGGTCCGACAGGCTGGGTGGATGGCCCTCCCTGGAGGCCCCTCTGAAGCCTGGACCTGGAAGAGCCTGACTTAGTCAGAGGAGATCATGCTGCAGCTGCGGGTACGAGTAACTCAATTCTCTTCTAAGACCCCGGGAAGAATTAAACTCTCTGGTTTAGGTTCTATCTTTTCTACTTGTCTTATAGGCAGATCTATTCAAGGGTTATATAATTTTATATTACTGCTGTTAATTTTTAGCCAAGGGCCTTTTTTCCCTTCATGTTCAGCCAGATATCTTTGGCTGGGTTGACTGACCCAAGAAGGACTACTTCTTAGTGCCTATGTTTAAAAAGGTCACAGGGACATAAAGAAATCTGGTGGATGGGCATGTGTGTCCATGTGTGTGGTGGCGGGGAGGTCATTACATGTTTCTAGCTATTAATAAAAGGAACACCTAGTGGTATAGTTTTTCTTTGGCTTAGGAATCTGTAAATACAGCTATTTCCTACTTTTCCCACTTGGAAAAGAGACAGCCTGGTGCAGTGGAAAGGACCCAGGCATGTCCTGGACGCCAGCCCTGGTTCTACCAGACACTTGCCATGGGACACCAACTGGTCTCTGAAACTCTCTTTCCTCACCCACTAATTGCACATAACAGCTCTGGCCAGGTGGCTTTGGTGGGTAGATGAGGTAATGGCCAAGTGGCTTCCTGCCTGTCTGCTGAATCCGGAGTCTCCTCCTCCTACACCGAGAACCTGGAGGAGGTGGCAGCAATAGGAATGAATGTATCTTCACCTTGCGTCTGTGGGTTTACATGCCCCATTCTGCACACAGAGCAGGTGCCTCCACGGGGCTATGTCACCTTCAACAGCAATGATGAGAACCCCCTGGAAGCGGAAGGCCTCTGCTATCGGGACGTCACCTCCCCAATCAATGACCGGGACGTGGAGAGCAGCAGCAGCAGCAGCCGGGGTACGTACCCTCCCTCTTCCCCATGCTGCCTGGCTAGGGGCCGACTTGCACTGGAGCCTGTGTGCCCACCCCACCCCACCCAGCCAGCTGGGGCTCAGCCCCGGGGCAAGTCCCTCCACTAGAACATGAGGAAGGGTACAGAAGGCCCTGGTTCTCACGAGGAAAACTAAAGAATCGGACACAGAGGAGAAGCTTCTAGTCCAGTGTCTCCCATGCAGGTCAGGGGGAGTCACTCCAAACTGACAGGCTTAGCCCCTGAATTTGGAATCTTTCTGAGGCTTTGGGAAGATCTTCCCGGGGGGAATGCCTGTCGTAGTTACACGTATGTATCAGTTCAGCAGCCCTTTGCTAACAGCCCACTGCTTGCAAGCACTGTTCAGGGTGTTTGGGATTTCTCAGCGAACAAAAGACAACCTGCATCTGTGTAGAGGGGAGAGTTGGGCCAGGCAGGCAGCACAAAGCAGGAGACCCTGCTGTTGTGCTGATGGGCACCTGGCTACAGTGGCTTAGGCCCAGGGGCGCAGTCCCTTGGCAGCACCCCAGGCGAGGCCTGCAGGCAGGTGTCCTCTTTCCCCATCATTAGAAGAGCAAGAGCGTGCTTTCTGTGCCAGCCTCGGGGCCATCCGGAGCAGCAGCAGCAGCGAGGGCCTGGCCAGAGCCCAGGGTCTCAGCAGCGAGGCCTCCGTGGAGAGCAATGAGGTGAGTCTCCTGCTTTCTTGACTTTCTGCTCCCTTTTCCGTTCTTGACGTTGTGGGGGGTGCCTGACACCCCAGTTAATTTGGGATGAGCAGTCTGGTAACAAGGCTGAAGTGCGTTTCTGTGCTGGGCTGGGGGGTGCAGCGTCTGGGGCCTGCCCTCTTGGAGGGTGGCGTGAGTGTGGGTGGTACAGGCTGCAGGGAGCCACCAAGGAAGCTGTGTGTGGCGGATGGGTTGTGGGGGAGTTTCATGAAGGCTCCTAAATCTTAACCCATGTGTGACTTCAGACACACTTCTTGCTGCAGGACTCAGATCATGCACGTAAAAGCTCAGTTCGCAAACAAACTAAAAGTTATGTGAAGACTAAGAATCGTTGCGGCCAGTGGCTTCCCAGCACTGGGTCTTCCGGGGCAGTTTGCACCTCAGGATCTGTCCCCCAAACTGAGAGGTTCCCCTATTCTGGACCCCAGGTAAGGCCATTTATGAAACTGGGGGTTATGGTCTTAGAAAGACAGTGCTGCCTGTGACTTGTGAGGTGTCACTGTGTATTTCCAATGAGCCAGGCACAGGCACCGTTGGCAGAACAGAGTGGTGGTGGCTTTTCCTCAGATGACCAGTAAACCTCAGGGTCAGCTGGTTCCTAATGGTTAGTGGGCAGTTGCAGGGTTTGTGCTGCGTCCCTTTCCACAGAGAGGCCCTGTCTCCTTGGTGTCCATACTCGGCAGCTCCTTGATCCCAGGGAGGAGAAAAGCAGGACTGATCTCAGCTGCTTCCTGGAGTTGGCGACAAGACACGTGGAAGCAGAGCACTGAGCGCACACTGCGGAAATTTGCCGCTGCTGCTTCCTCCCTGTGCTCACTCTGAGCTCTTTCTTAGGGATCGTGGGGATGGCTGAGCAGCTGAGTCCCCGCCAGTGCAGGCCCACGTGGTGCAGAGACCCGTGGTGCAGTGGGGGGTCTCTGCTCTTCATTTGTTGAAGCCCCAGCGCTGCCACTGCCTGCAGGCTGGGGCTTGGCCGGCCTCCCGCAGCCCCTCGCAGGCCCACACCCCCAGGCTCAGGGGCAGGGCGCACATCTCGGTTCCTTAAACACACACTGGCTGGAGAGCTTGCAGCTGTGGGGGCATCCTCAGGCTGTTTCTTTCAAAAAGTAGTTTCAGGAAAATGAGAGTAATACCTCCAAAAATGTATTCCTCCACTAAAAACAACACTAAACTTGCAAAAATAGAAACTCTGGAGTTGAAAAGTACAACCGAATTGAAACTTTCACTAGATGGGCTCGACAGTGGATTTGAGCAAGAAGAAAGAATCGGAAAACTTGAACATAGGGCGTCTGAGATGATGTCTAAGAAACAAGGAATGAAGAATGAGCAGAAACCTGCGAGACGTCATCAAGCTACTAGCACACACAACACTTTGCAGTGGGAGAGGAGAAGGAAGCAGAAGACACGTTTAAGGACTAGCCTGACCTTCCCAAACCCGAACTAAAACACGGAGGTCTACATCCAAGAAGCCTGATGAACTCCAAGTAGGGTAAACTCAGAAATCTAAACTTAAGACACATCAAAACCAAAATGTTGGACAAAGAGAATCTTGCAAGGACCAAGAGGGAAGTGACTCATCCCAAAGGATTCTCAGGATGAACAGCCTCATTAACCCCTCCACAGAGCTAGCTTCGTGAGGTGTGTGCGGAGCCACGTCCCAGTGATAAGTACCAGGCTAGGTGAGACCAGAGATGGGGACGGCAGGGCTCAGTGTCCTGTCTGCCTGAGGGCATGGAGTAGGAAGGGCAGTGAGCAGGAGCACGTCTTGGGCAAGGAGGAAACTCTGCGCGGCTGCTGCCCCTTCCCGCCCGTCTACTCTGCCCTCCAGGACCTTGCTGCGCTGCTGGAGCAGATCGGGTGTCTCAAGTACCTGCAGGTGTTTGAGGAGCAGGACGTGGACCTCCGCATCTTTCTGACCCTCACTGAGAGCGACCTGAAGGAAATCGGCATCACGTGAGTCCAACGGGGCCGTCTCTGGGCCTCATGCCCCTCCTGTCAGCCAGGCATTCTGGGGCCAGTTGAGTTCTGACTTCAGAGAGGATGCTGATCTGTGTCTTCCCTGATTCCCCCTGCAGGTTGTTTGGGCCCAAAAGGAAGATGACCTCTGCCATCGCCCGCTGGCACAGCAGCGCCCGCCCGCCCAGTGATGCGCTAGAGCTGGCCTACGCCGACCGGCTGGAGGCCGAGATGCAGGAGCTTGCCATCCAGCTGCACAAGGCAGGCGGGGAGTGGCAGTGCCCTCGGGGAAGGGGCAGGGACGGCGGCCAAGGCGGGAGCAAGGGTCCCAGTCCCCACAGGAAGAGGATAGCACCACACAGAGGGAGGAGTCAGACAAGAGGGCAGGGGCCAGCAAGCAAGCAGCCAGCAAAGTCACAGGGCTAGAGAGGCCCCAAGATGGAGGGAGAAACAGGGTCAGAGACAGAACAGACTCAAAGCCTCTGAGAGGGAGCGGTGCAGCCCAAGCCTCCGTGGTCTCGGTCCCCCATGCCGGGCCTCCTCCCAGCCTGGCCCTCCCACTCTGCAGCGCTGTGACGAGGTGGAGGCCATGCGGGGCCAGGTGTCCCAGGAGCAGGAGCTGCGGGCCGTGGTGGAGAGCTGCCTGCTAGAGCAGGACGGGGCCCGAAAGGACATCCAGGCCCAGCTGCAGGAGACCTGGGCCCTGGCCCAAGATGCCACCCTCATCCTGGACCAGCTGCGGTAAGTGGCTCACTTGTCAGCCAAGGGGCCTGGGGTCCCTTGCTGCCCCCACCTCCCACTTCATTTGGGCACTTCCTCCCTGCAGGGCAGCACACAGGGCCCCTCTCCTACCATCAGTGCATCTCCCTGACACTTGCCAGGCCCTTAAAGGCTGGCTGTGGGGACAGGGTGGGGCCACTCCCCCTCCTTCCACTCAGGGGCCTGGGTGGGGGGCCTCTGCCCTCACCAGCACTTGTTCCCGTGTCTGGCAGAGCCTGTCAGTCTGAGCTGTCCGCCCGAGTGAGGCAGGACCAGTCCCCTGGTGCAGCTGCCCTGGGCCCAGCCTTCCCCCGGTCGGGTAAGAGCAGCGCCTGGCTCCAGCGGGGCAGAGGGGAGGGCGGGAAGCCTTGAGGCTGGGTTTTACGCAGTGGGCTCAGCATGGCTATCTTGCCGGACTCCACTCTCCCAGGTCCCCAAGCGTACACAAGCCCAGTGTGGAGGGGAAAGGGGCCCTGGGGACCCAAGCCCACACCTCACCTGTGATGGGACAATCACCTGTCCCCCAGTGGTAGAAGGCATGGCCGTGACAGTGTCAAGACAGTCACTTGTGTCACAGCCAATCATGCTGTCCAACACCTCCGGTGACTTCAGCCTTCAATCATGGGGCCACCCGAGGGCACAGCTTCCCTATGGGCTAGACTCACACTGTCCGTCCTGGGGCTGATCCCTGCGTGGCAGTTAGTGCTTAGGCCAGCAAGCAGGAGAAATCATTTTTGTCACAATCTTTTTGGTCTCACAGACCCGGAAGTTGGCGGGGAGGAAGGTTGTTCAAGCATTGATAGTTGGTGTGGGGGGGTTCTGATCCAGGGAGGGTCTCCTGGACACAGAGCCCAGGCCAACTCAGTCCTCTGCACCGCAGACTCCAAAGGCTGGCAAGCATCCCTGCAGGCCATGAGCCTGCCCGAGCTGTCGGGCACCCTGGAGGACCGTGTACATGAGATGGGTGAGTCTCCTGGAATGTGGCAAGTGGCCTGGCCCCACCCAGGGACCAGACTTTGGTGAAGACTGAGCGCCCCTTTTACTTCAGAGGGAGGCAGAGGGACCCCTTCCTAGGGAAAGCAGGTTTGAGTCCTTCCACCCTGACACCATCTGTCCTCAGAGCTGGGGTCATGGCCACTATGGGGCAGCCTGCCCAGCTCACAGTATGGATGAAAGGCTCCAGGCCCCTGTTCCAAGTGCCCCAAGTTCCTCTTCCCTGCTGCCACCTACTGTCTGGTCCCGTCCTCAGGGCGAGCGCTGTGCTCCGTGACCCAGAGCCTGGAGAAGCTGCAGGTGCTGAGCAGCAAGGAGAAGTGGCGGGAGCCCTAGCCCAAAGGGACGGTGAGTGTCTGCCAGCCAGGAGCTGGTGCCAGGACACCAATGGGGGCAGCTATGGGAACAAGTACACTCCCTCCCTCCCTCTTTCTGGTCTCACCAGGGCCTTTTCTTTTCAGAATCTGACGTTGGGTGACTGATCCACCCTGAAGCTGTGTGTCAGGAAGTCGGGAGGGCCACGCGCAGGTGGCTGCAGCAAGCAGCACGGCCCAGAGGGGGCCAGAGGATCAGGCCCCGGGAGCAGCCGGCAGACACAAGCAGGACAGGGACTGCGGCCCATGCCAGGCAGCTTGGGCCAGCACTGAGGCAGGACGAGGGCCTGTCGCCCAGAACCTGGTGGTAAGGCCCAGAGCTTGTGGCCTGGCCTGGTCTAGGCCAGGCAGGGCCTTGTGGGGAGAGAGTGTCCCCAATACATGGGTGCAAGAGGCTTGACCTTATGAGAACCGGGGCACCCAGAAAATGTTATCTGTTGGAAAAATAAAATTTATGGTCAGCTGGTGAAGGGCTCCATTCTGATCACATGACATGTAGCACTGGCCAACACATGGGGCCAAAGCAAGGGGAAAGCCATGCCAAGACCTCAGCCACAGTGTCCTGGGGCTCTGGGTGGATATCCCTGGTGCCCAGGCCACTGAGCATGCTCGGGGCTAGGCCAAGTAGGCGAGCCTGCCTGCCCTGTCCCCTGCAGCTTGGGAAGCTCTGTTCCAGCAGCACATGAGTCCAACTTAAGACAAGCTGCTACAAAAGCTAAGCACATGCCCAGGCCCTAGGAAACATGAGTGAGCCAGATACAGGCAGTCTGTTCCCACAGCAACAGACTTCTCCCATACTTGGCCCTTCTCCCCCAGCTGAGGCGGGGTTGAGAACACCACCTTCCTTACTGGGAGAGGTATGGGTGGTGGAAATTTGCCAACTCACCACTGGAGCCTTTGCAGACATGAGGCTATAGGGACTACCAGTGGTGGCCTTCTTGTTCCCTGCTGACTCTGCTGTTGTCATTCTGCATACTAAGCCTGTGCTTCCAGACCGTCCCCTGGAGCTGCTTGCAGACTGTTCTGAGAATGAGGAAAGGCAGGTTTTCAAAGCGTAGAGGATCTAGTACAAGAGCCTGACACTGGCACCGCAGCATAGAAGCCCCCAGCCAGGCTGCCAGCCCAGGTGCTCAGGCTGGGAGTGCCCCAGTAAACACAGGCGGACACATGGACACCTCTGGCCAGGGCAGTGACTCCATGTGTCCCGAATCTGAGACAGGAGGCCTGAGTTGGTTCGACTCCTAGCAGTACCCAGCACCTGGGGTCCCAGAACCCCTCTTGGGCCCAACCTCCACATCCAGGAAAAGGAAGGACACCCCTCACCAGCCCAGCCCTGGGCTGCTGTCTAAAACCAAAAACCAAACAGCAGCTGAAGAGCGGCTTCATTTATTGTCTTTTTCTCCTTGAACAACTCCATACGTAGCTGGGTCCCTGAGGCCCCGACCATCCTGCGAACCAAGCCACAGTGGGGAAAAGCCACTTTGAAGCTTTACTCATAGTTCACACATCTCGAATGAGAAAAATCTAACAAAGTAAATCCAACAACAACCAAAATTAACAGTATAACATCCTACCCTAAGCTGGCTCTTCCCCAGACCCTGGGGCTGGCTCGGGAAGGATGCAGGGATGAGCTGGCCTGGACAGCCGCCTCCACCAGAGCAAACCGTCTTCCGAATGGCCTGAGAGCTGGGCACCTACCCCTAGGACGACGGGGCGCTATGTGGTGAGACGCGTGCTAAGGAGAGTTTGAGCTTTTCGGTGGGCACGAATGTCCTGAGCCTGAAGAGCCAGGCCCAGTGTGCCCAGACTGCCCACTGACCAACCTGAGAGGATGGGCTGGGTCCCAGCTGGCCCAGCTGCCGCCTAATGACTGCTTGGGACAGTGGAGATGATGAGATGCCTGTCTGCCCCATGCAGTCAGAAAGGCAAACACAGAGACAAGCTAGAAGACACACTTTCACAGGACTCCCAAAACCAAGTCTTCTCAGCCGATGGGCACAGAGATGGCTGCCAGTGGGGAGGGCGACAGCTAGCACAGGAACCACCTCAGGAAGAAGCTGGGAGCAGCTTCTCCAGGGCCTTCTTCTGCTTCTCTGTGGCTGCAGCCACAGCCTCAGCCAGCTTCTCCTCGGGCATCATGTTGAGCACCTTGAGGGCGAAGAGGAGCTGGTACTTGGCAGTGCTGGTGAAGGCGTTGCTCAGGAAGTTGGGAAAGCCGCCGACTCGGTCCTTCTGGGTGTACAGTGGGACCCGCACAAGGCCCAGCACCTGCACAGACAGGTCAGGGTTGGAGCCGGGCCCTCCACCCCGGTAGCTCACCTCTGGCAAGAGGGGCCTGAAAGCTGCTGAGCCAGGGGACGAGCAGCCAGTTTTGCCAAGGACATAGTGGGAGACCCAGGTAGAGTCTGGCAGGGCAGAAGCCAGCCAGCTCCCCTGGAGCACTGCAGCCCCCTCCTCCCCTAGCACACGCCCAGGCCAACCCTGTACCCTCCCCTACCCTAGCACTATGGGCGGGCTCCTGTGCCAGCTCTCCCTGCCGCACCCCATGCTCCCCCATCCAGACCACAAAACCCACAACCCAAGAGGTTTCACACCCAATCCCCCTTTCTGCTCCTCAGTTTCCCACCTCCCCAAGCAGGCACCACTCCCCCATCCCTTCCTCCCCACCGGTCCCACTCCCCACTCCCAGGATTGGCAATGGCAGGCAGCAAGGCGGATGTAACACAGCCCTGAGGGAGCCCCCAGCCCCGCCCCTCCTTTCCGGCCTCATCCCAGGCCCCTCTCCCCATCCCGTAGCTGGAGACAGCGACACCCCACCCAGCCCGGCCAGGGGACCCTCAGGGGGGACGTGTTACCCATCGGTGCCTTCCACGGGGCCAGAGCCAAACCCCGGGGCGGGGGGCGGGGCCCGGGCGGCGGCCCCACCTCCAGGCCGTGGTCGCGCGAATGCACCGCGCTGATCTCCACGGCGTGCAGCTGCTCCAGCGTCAGCTGCCGCGCGTACAGGTGCGCCACGACGCGGTGCGGGCCCTCGGTCAGGTGCGAGCTCAGGTAGTCGGCCTCGGTGAGGCGCAGGGAGCCCAGGCCCAGGCCCAGCACCCGGTTCAGTCCGTCCTCCAGCGACCAGAAGCGCCGGTCCACGAAGCCCCCGGGGAAGCCCAGCAGCCCGTCGAAGCGCATCTGCATCTGCAAGGGAGCGCCGAGTCACGGGCGCGGGGTCGACCGACGCGGCACGCCCGGCCCGAGCCCCGCCCGGCCCGAGCCCGCCCGGCCCCGTCCTCACCAGCACCGAGAACCGCATGGGGATGCGGCCGAAGAGCTGCCCGGGGTTGGCGGCGTACAGCATGGCGTGGCACGAGTGGCTCCAGCCCGGGCCCAGGCGCATCGCCTCCACCCGGCTGATTCGCTTCAGCTCCGGCACCGCCGCCGTAGACATCTTGGCACTGGCCCCTGCGGCCCGGCCGGACCCCGGCTTAAGCGCATGCGCTGGCCCACCTCCTTTGCACCCCACCAATCCGCGGGCAGCTGAGCCCCTGGGTCCCGCCTCCCCTCCAATCCCTGACGAACGTCGGGGCAGAGCCCATCGAGGCTCTGCGACGCGTCGTTGAGAGGAGGGAACGGTGTGCAAAGGCAGGGGGCCGTGCGCGCCAGCGCCACCCAATAGCCGCTCACCACGAGTGGCGGCCCCGCCTTCAGCCCGCGAAGACTACAACTCCCAAGATGCAACGCGCCGGCAGGACTCGGCGTCCTGAAAAGGCGGGTGCGTGCGGGACTCGGGGCTCAGGCTGTCAGCCACAAACCTGTCCCTGGGCGTCTCGAAGAGGACCTTCGGCATCCCCGCTGCTACGCGAGCTAGCGACGCTCGGGAGGCGTCCTCTGCCAGGCTGCTCGGACCTGAGCAACTTACCGCGTCACGCTCTACAGCTGTCCGTTGGGGCCACTCCGTCCGCCTCAGGAAAGCGGGCTGCCAGCAGTCCCCACACCCAGGCCTGGCGCTAGGCTGCCTGGCCAGGCGCTCTGGGGCTCGCTGGACCCAGCCGACTAGAGCAGGAGGTGACTTAAATTGGGGGGCCGGGGACCACATGCCAGGTACTGTTGGGGGAAGTGGGAGTTCCCCTAATTTTCTGATGAGGAACCTGGGGCTCAGAGGACAGCACTTGCGAAAACACACCCAGCAGTTGGTGACAGAGCCAGGATCCCACCCTGGCTGCTACCCAGTGTCTACAACAGAAAGCCACCTGATCCCGAAGGGGAGGGCCTCAAGTACTTACCCTGTATTTGTGTTGGAGAAGGAAGTCGCTGGGCTTAGAAGCATTGGAAACACCGTCCAGGCGAGAGCAATTGGGTCCCCTGAACCCCAAGGTGGCAAGGTTCATCTCACCAGTAGCAGGCCCCAAGGGCCACTCTCCTCTCCACAGTGGGCAGGGATTTGCTGTGTGAAGGAACCTCTGCCTGCACTGTGGGATGGGCGCCCAGGGCTGGGCCACAGCCTTGGGAGAGCTGTGCAGTCGGGCCAGCTCTGGCACAGGGAAGGCTGCCTGGAGCGGAGCAGCTGTGCAGGAGAGGAGAGGGGTGGGCAGGAGCTGCCAGACACTCGTGTTGTTAGGTCCATGGTGATGTCAGATCTGGGGAGGACCCCACCTCCGGGCAGCCAAACACAACCTGAGCCCAGGGGCTATGGGGTGCAGGGGGCACAGGAGGAAAGGCTCCTCGTGATGCAACCCTGCCTCGCCACCAGACCTCAGTAAAGGGGCCAGGTCTGTCAGGAAGTGCGTCGGGGGAGCCAGTTCAGCCCATGCAAGCACCTGTTGACACTTTGAGCACCTCTGCCCACACTGGGACTGTGCCAGAACAAAGCATGTCCGAGAGCAGTTGCAGAGCCGTGGATGCCGGGAACAGCCGTTCCCTCTCCACCTTTGTGGGCTTGGGTCAAAGAGGGGCCATGGAGGCAGCTTGAACTGTGTTTGCGAAGGAGCCGGGGCCCTGTGTGGTGGGTGTCCCGAGGCACTAGCCAGATCTTGCCTAGGAGGCAACCCCACGGGCAGGGGAGCACAGGCCAAGCAGAGGGCCCCGGGCTGGGCTCCAGCCTCTAAACCCAGCACGCCTGAGCAGCCAAACCCGCCCCTCCAGCCCAGTCTCCACATGGCAACTGCAGGGTGTCACTCCTATGCTTAAAAGCCTCTGTTCTTTGAAGACAACCCTGAAAAACTCCGGCCGCCTCGACAAGGTCCTCAGCATCTGCCCCTGACACTCCAGGGAATGGGCTCCCCAGGGCCAGCTCCGTTCATCCTCAGGGCTCCATTTAGACATCTCCTCAGAGAAGCCTACCCTGACCACGTGGCTGCGCAGAGTCCCTCATGGGCTTCATCTCATCACCCTGCTGACTTTCTTCCTGACAGTAACCAAACCCGAAAGGATTCTGATGACCTGTTTCTCACCGGCAAGAATGCAAGCACCCTTGTGGGGCCCCTCCTGACACATAGCAGGTGCTGTGAACACCTGTGGGACACTTCTGCAACAGAGATGGGGACTGGAGAGGCAACCTGGACACCAGGGGGCACTGGGCTTTTGTGCCACCTATTCAGGAGACTGAGCCAAATCCCAAAGGTTTGCCTTCATTCCAACCAAAGAATCAACAAAGATGACAATGAAAACAACAGTCGAGAACAGCAGCTGGTGTAGTGATGAACCACAGGGAGCCTGTTACCTGGTTTAATCCCACCCTGGCTTGGAAGCTGCATTGTCACTACCACCTGACACATGAGGAAACTGAGGCAGAGGCCATGAGCTGTCAGGGTGTGGCAGCCACCATGACCACTCAGTGGCCTCCTCTGGGTCAGGAAACAGCCACAGCGTGCCCAGAGGAAGGAACGGACAGGATATTGCTGCATGATTTTATTACTATAAATATACAGTAAAAACGAATGCACGGGCCCATCCGAGCACACCAGATGACAGCACGTGGAAGTCACAGACGGGCCCGTCTGCAGCCACCCACACAGAGCTCTGGCACCAGCACTGACGCGAGGCTGGGCCTTGCTGGGGTGAGGGACGGAGACGGCCAGCCTGCATGTGCACGTTTGCATGTGTGTGCACGTGTGCACGTTTGCATGTGTGTGCACATGTGCGCACGCGCACACAGCAGATGGCGGGGATGGGGGTGGGGGGGGAGGCTGGCCTGGGCACACAGGGAGCCGGGTGCGAAGAGCGCACTCCACTCGGGCCCAAGCAGGGCACGGCTGGCCACTGTGGGTTTGTCTCCCGAGCGTCCCACAGGGCAGAGCTGGTGCTCGGAGCAACCCTGAGCCTTAGGCCGGGCCGGGACATGCGGAGCCCAGCGGACTGCTGCGGGCTGTCCCGCAGCCATGCCTCCCCTGGACTCAGCTGAGGCTCCAGGCACGGGCCCCTGCCCTCCCTGGCCAGGGGAGCTGCACACCCCGGCTGGCTCAACGCCCTGCTGGGGCAGGTCTGGCACTGGGGCACCGGGCCTGGGCACCCCCTTTCCTTTCTGTTGCCAGGAGGTTTATCCTACAAAAAGGATGAGGTCCCTCAGAGGCCAAATGTCACAACAGGACCCTGCTTCCCCAGGCTGGTCCTGCCACCAAAGTCCCAGACAGAACAAATCAAAGAGAAAGGCAGAGGGACGTTTAGGGGGGAGCTGAGGAAGCTACCGAATCCCCCAGCAGATGGCTGCTGGCTGAGCGGAAGCCCCTCCACCTGGAAGGGCCTGAAGACAGACAAAAGCCAGCACCCATGAGCAGGCGCACGGCTGGGCCAGAGGCCACCAGATACCAATCGCAGCAAACAGCTGCACCTCTACCCTGGGCTGGACACTGCCATGGTGCCCGGGGAAGGGCTGGGGGCAGGCGGTGCCCGTGCACCCCAGGCTCAGAGCAGGGGGCTGGGCCTTAAGGTGGGCCTGGGAGTGCCACCAGGGCCACAAACAGCAAAGGGTGGAAGGCAACAGCCACAAACAGGCCGCTGTGGCAACACACACAGCGTGGGCGGACAGACACTGTTTCCTTCATTGACCGAGACTTGGGCCCCCTGCCACCCCCTGACGTCTGTGAAGACAGCACTTCACCCAACAATAAATTCGTCTCTGAGTCCTCGGGCACCGCTGCTGCAGGCTGCATGTGGGTAGTCGGCCAGCACCAGACCTGGCCTCAGCCCACAGGGCTGGGGGACCCCAGGCCTAGAGGCCAGCTAGAAAGCTGCTGTCCTTCATTTTGTACCATTTACAAACATATCAACCATACAAAAAAGGGGTCTGGAGGGGCAGTCCACTGTGCTCTTTGATCAAGGGTCGTCGTGGCCCCTCGGAGCCTGGTGGCCACAGGGGGTGTGCAGACAGGAGAGGCCGGGTCACACTGGGGGCCGGGGCAGCCCCTCAGGAAAGTCTGGGGGAGCTGAAGGCTCCACGCCACCAGCCTGGCCAGGCGCTCAGAGTGGGGTCAAGTCGGTGGCACCAGGATCGGCACTGGGGCCACCAAGTGGAGGCCAGGGCGGGCCGGTGGTGCTGAGGCTGCGGGGCGTCTCCATGGAGGTGGACCATCCTGCAGACGAGAGGAGAGGAGGATCATGCTCGGCCACTCTCCCACGTCACCTGCTCCTACCAACCCGGAGGCCCACAGGGGCAGGGCCACTCCACACTGCCTGGCTGTGGCCAGAATGGCAGATTAGCTTGATCTGACCACACCGAGGGCCTGGGGACTCTGCAGCCTTAGCTGAGTGAATGCCGGTTGTCCCTCTGGGGCCAGGTCACCCCTGGGCACCTGGCAGCGAGCTGCAGCCTGGGACAGAATGCAGTGAGTCAGTGTGGGCTGCTGACACCTCTGGGTCTCCTGCTCTTACCCCAGTTCTTTCCTGGGATCTGACCAGCCACTGTCCTGCAACAGCCCTGCAACCGGGTGAGGCTGGAATGCAGCTGGCCCGCGGACGGGGGAACGGTGCCCAGCGCGGCCCTAGGGGCTTCCTCGAGGCAAAGGCAGGGGCCTCGGGAGCCTGCCCTGCCTGCCACAGAGGCCTGCTCTTCCACGAGACACTCTGTCCCCAGACTAGGTCTGTCCCTTGGCCCTTGGGCAAGTGTGCTGGCATAGGGAGCCCATGACACACGCCTGTGGCAACAGCGGGACCAGCACATCCTCAGGGCTGCCCAACCCCTGGCCCTGACCCTAACGCACTGCTGCACAGGGTGCCTGCAGAGCGCGAGCCACGAGGTTCGGCGACAGCCCCAGCCCCGGGTGGAGAGTGACTATTTCCTTCGGAGGCTGTGGCCTCTCGTAGGACCCAGCCCTCCACGCAGCCCCCCAGGCTCTGAAACACTGTTCTGGGTCTGCCCTTCTGGAAGTTTGACCTGAACCCCAGGACTCAAGTAGCACCTTCCACCATGACAGGCTGGGCCTGCTTTGTAAACGTGTGGGGTGCTGTTGCAATGGAGGGATAAGACTTGTCACGGGAAACATTCAGGGATGACGGGGGAGTTTGTGTGGAAACACCAAAACAAGTGACCGAGTCAGCACGAGGGGAGAGGGCCAGGGCTGAGGCCGGGAGCCCAGCCAGGCACCTCCCAGACGGCCGCATGGGCAACGCCCGTGAGGCTGGAGTCCTGCCTGATCGCAGAGGGCACCGACGCCCCCTCAGCAGTCGTCCCAGGGCCACGCATGGCGAGTGCACCCAGAGCCTTCATGAGAGGAAGAGGGTCCCCAACCTGTTTGCTTATGTTTTTGACAGTACTCTTGACTGCCAAGAAATACTTTGGTCTTCTGTAAAACATCCACGAGGGCCACCCTGGAAGAGGGCCCCTCCCTGTCACATGGGTGACACCTTCATATGGCCTCCTAACAGACAGCTCAGAATACCCTGGTAATCCAGAAGGTTCCAGAGCCAGGAGGGACAGGTGAGCAGCAGCGGAGGGCTTACAGCTGAAAGGGAGCCCATGAGGGTATCACCCCTGCCAGGCACACGGTGACACCAGGGCCATTTGGGCCACGCTGACAAGACAAGGGTGAGGGACGAGCGCGACCCATGTGAGTGGACACCATTGGGACGGGAAGCAGGCCGGTCCCTGCCTGGCAGCTGAGAGCCCCGTGAAGACACCCCTCCAACAGACAGGCTGCACAGCCTGGGCACACTGTTTCCTCTGTGAACTTGAAGCCATGACCAGAAAACAGAGTGGATCCTGCGAACATCCCAACCCACCTACCGCGGGGCTGCTGGCAGCTCAGCTGCGCTGCCGTCTGCATGAGGCCTGGCCTCGCTGGAGCCGTCCCCGTGGACATCCAGCCCGGTGTCTCCCTGAGGCCCCTCCTCAGGGTGCTGCCTCCTGGGGGCTCACCTGGGCCGAGTCTGTTCCAGGGACCCCAAAGACTGGAAGAAGAGCCGACTGGACCACCTGGTCCATGTGGAAAAACCTCTGCCTCCGAACATCAGGGCCCCCAGAAGGCCACCTTTTAGGGGCCAAAGTGCAGCGGCCAGAGAGAGCTCTGGATCCAGACCCAGGCCCCCACCTGGGAAGGCGCAGATGCGGGTGAAGCCCAGAAAGTCAGAAGGACCCCACAGGGCGGGGGCGTGAGGGCTCCTCTCCCCAAGGACGCCTGTCACAGCCTCCCTCCCCGCAGCACACACGAAAGGAGGTCACGAACCCGCTTACTCGCCTATACCAACAGCCGGAGCCGGGGCGTGCAGAGGAGAGAGACGGGCAGGAGCTCGCTTAGCGACTTCCACGGCGAAGGCACTAACTTCACAAGCACGCACTGCCCAGACTCAACATGCCCATGTGTGGGGACCGGCTGCCACCACAAAGAAACAGCAGCTGGAAACCTTCCCGCAGGGGCACAAGTGGCTCTGCCTCCGCCCGCCGCCCTGCTGCCGCGCCCAGGGCAGGGCTGGGGTGGCGGTTCCACCTGCAGTGTCAGGGGCTGGCGGCTGGACGGGGCTCCCCGAGCTGGACGCCCTCGGTGCCAGGCACCTGGGTTTTTCACCATTTGGTGGACGTCCCATCTACAGGGGACACGACTCGCTGCATCGTGCTCTTTCCTCCAGGCGATGGCGAGGCCATCATCAAAACAGGGACACCTGTGTGCATGTGGCCGTGGTCTTAAACACACAGATGTGGATGATGTTCATGCTAAGTGAAAACAAGCCACTAGAACAGAGAATGCCACACATGGATTAAAAACACAAAGAAACGCAAGCCACAAAGCGTGCACGTTCCTGCAGACAGCCACCACATGCGCCCAGCACTGCTGGGCCTCAGTGGAGGCCATGCAGGACACAGGCTATCAGGGCTGCTGCCCTGGACTAAAGAAGCCCTACAACCCTCACTGGAGCGTGGGGGCCTGAGACCCAGATGTCCTGGGCTCACGCGAGCAGGGGCTGAGCCGGTGGTGGCCTGCCCTGACCCTGCCCAGGCCTGAGTGCTCCACCGGCCACGAGAGGGGAGGCACGAGTTTTCAGATACTGTCCCCTTGGGGCCACCCTGCAGGGTCAGAATCTCACTCGTGGCTCCCAGAGATTGGAGTCCCTCTTATCCCTGCTCCCCCCCCCCAAATTATTTACATTTTTGGAGACAGGGTCTTGCTCTGTTGCCCCAGTATGAGAGCAGTGGTGCCACCACAGCTCACTGCAACTCCAACTCCTGGGCTCAAGTGATCCTCCCGCCTCGGCCTCCCAAAGTGCTAAGACTGCAGGCATGAGCCACCATGCCCAGCCACCCACCAGGTTTTTCATCAGGACGAAATACTGAGGTCCTCTGAAGGAACAAATTGAGTTCTGTGTCACTTTGAGATGTGTTGGTCCTGGACACAGCTTCTGCTGTGGCCAATGTCCCAGGCAGGCCTGCTCTCTTACACTGGGGGGAGGCATGACACCTGGCTTGTGGGCACAGGTCTCTGTGCACCCAGAAACCGGCAGGGCAAGGAGCCCTTTCCGACCAAAGCGCGTCACAACCCCCCAGTGCCCAGGCTGCTAGGTGACCCAGGAGACTGAGCAGTGGAGGGTCCCGGGGCCAGGAAGGGGGCAAAGGGGCTTCCCAGCGGCTCTGGGGGTGGCGTCCCTGAAGGCAGCATTCCTGTTTATGCTGATTCTGGACCCCAGACGGCCTCCCAGCACCCCGCTCCCATGCCCATCTCTGCGCCTGAGATCCGAAGCTGAGGATCTTACCCCGGCAGGGCAGAGGAGCTGGCGGGAGCCCAGCCTGGGCTCTGGGAAGGAGAGAGAACAGCAACATCCACCCCTGCCCCCCTGCTCTCGGCCCCATAGGTGCCTGGCACCCCAGCCTGTCTCCCAGGTCCTGGCCCTGAAATGTGCTGCTGTGTCTGGGCAGATAGCCTGGGGCAGAAGGTGACCCAGAGGCCCCTTCCCCTGCTTTCTAGCCTGGGAACCCCCATACCCGGCAGAGCACATGGCATGTGCTCTCTTGCTCTGTCTGCAGCTCCCAGGGCGGAGGCCCTGCCACTAGGTCATTCAGCAGAGGGCAGCGAAGAGGGAAGACAGAGTGATCCCTGAGGAGACCAAATCTGCCTGGCTGGCTGTGACCAAGAGGGACGAGGGAAAGGACCCCGGCCCTAAGCAGGCAGCCTTCCCTGGGACCCAGGGCCTGCAGGGGCAATGCCTTGGGGACCAGGTCCTGGCCTGGGCCCTGCTTTGGGGGTCAAAGCAGGTGCACGGCTTAGAGCCAGGGAAGGAGCCAGGCTGCAGGGGCCAGCCCCGCCTGCCCTGCTCCCTGGGCGCAGAGTCTGGCACCACCCGCAGGCCCCCGAGGGCCCTAGTGCTGTTACCTGGCAGGTAGATGTCGGCAGGTGGGCCCGGCTGGCTGCAGCCACAGTGCTCAGGGCTGCTGTCCTGCAGGACGTTCTCGATGGACGGCACTCGGCTCCCTGCAGCAGCAGAGAGGAGGTTGGGAGCAGCCCGGGAGCCCGGCGCACTCCACTGAGGACTCTGCAGCCACCATGGGGACCCTGGGCCTGGGCTCCAGCCTGAGTCTACCCTGAAGTCCCACATGCTCTCCAGGGACTCAGAGATGGATGCTTCCTTTTCTCCTCTTTCCCACCCCCAAGCATGGTTATAAAAAGCATCACCCGTCCACATGTCAAATGGCAACAGGTGCTTACCATGCGTGCCCACCCCTGCAGACAGCCTGCAGGGAGCACGGTGCCTCGAGAGGGTGGGCTCTGGTCCTCCCACATGCACGTTTAGTCCCTCAGGACACACACCGGGGCTGAGGGTGTCCTTGTGGGCAAGGGTCCCCTGGCAGAAGAGGGCCGGCCCAACGCGGCCTGGAGCCCCACCACCCTGCAGGCCAGGCACCGGGTCCTACACGCGTGTCTGCACTGACGGAGGTCCAGGCCTGAGCTGAAGTGAGAAGCTGAGGCCCCGCGAGGCGGAGGGACTCTCAATGCCATCCAGCAGAGGACACACCGGACAGGGACCCCTGTTTCTAATTCTCCACTCACAGACCATTGGTGCCACATCCTGGCTCTGTCACCTAAGTGGCTTTGGGCCTCCCCAACACCAACCCTGAGCCTTGGTTTGCCCATGTACCCTACAGCAGCAGGCAGGAGCCCGTTTCTGATTCTCCTGGGGAGGATTGAGTGAGGTGGCAGAGGGAGCTCGGAGGCCCCTATGAGGCTGGGCAGGGCTGCCCCCAGCCAGAGCCACGGTCGCCAGACCAGGAGCAGTAGCTGGGACCTAAAGCCCGCCAGGCACCTGCACACTAAGTCCCTCCGCTAAAACGAGGGGAGATCACAGCATCTCAGCCGTCCTTGTTTCCATTCTTCACCAGGCACAGCAAGTCACCCAAACCTCAAAGCAAAAGAGGACTCTCCTCCCACCCCGTAGCAACTCTGCCCTGGAGGGAGGCGGGAGGCCCACCCTGTCCACAGGGGATGGGCAGAGGCTGACCAGCAGCTCAGAGCCCTGCTAGACGGTGACACGGAGGAGCCCAGCCAGCAGCGCACAGACCACTCCTGAGAGAAAGGGGTCCTGGCGCAGACCCGGTCCTGGTGCAGGGGTGGCCTCTGGGAGGCTCCTGGGGGGCTCACCTTGCTTCAGTGATGAAGACTCATCCACCTCTTCTGTGACGAAACTCTAGGAAACAAAGAGGAAAGCCCACCTGCTGGCCCCAGGTGACTGGGAGGATGTGGAGAGTGGTGGCCACCAGGCCAGGCCACACTGATGTCACACAGGGCCCCCTTACAACCTGCACAGTGACTCCACCCACCGGCACCCCATCCCAGGGACAGATGAGGAAACCGAGGCCGGGGGAGTCTGGCCGGGCTGCGGCCTGGGCGGGCGCGGGCTCACCTCGGGGGAGCTGCTCTCCCGAGGTGCCAGCCCTGTGCTGCTCGGCGGGCGCGGAGCGTCCAAGTCCTCCGAGAGCTTCTCCTCGTCCTCTTCATGGATGGGGGATGATGGGGACCGCAGAGTGCTGGGGACAGGAGTCAGGAGGTCAGAGGACAACTGGATGAGGAGGGCCAACCTGCCAGAGGCACACAGACCCCTGCCTGACACCTCCCAGGGGATCCTGCACGTGTCTGCCGGGACACAGGAAGAAGGTGCTCCCTGGGGAGGTGTTTTGGCCAGCAAGTGACTGGGACTGCCCTGCTGCCCCACAGCCAGAGGTCAGCACAGACCCACCCTGACAGAGGCCCCGTCCTGGCACAGGCCTGCGCAGCCTTTTCTTTCTAGAGAGAAACCACCAGTGACAGTGATGCCTGGGGCGGGGAAGCAGCAGGAGACAGACTCCCACGTCTCTGCAGCCTTGGAGCTGTTCTCCGCAGGCTGCAGCACAGGGCCCTGGGCTGGCATCACAGACCCTGTGCCCGCCTTACCTTCTCTGTTAAAAACTAACACCGGGGGGAGGGGGTGGGACAGAGTCAGCACAGTGGACTGGCAGCTACTTCTTGCAAGTCTCCACGGAACCACGACTGACTCCTAGCCAACCCCGGAGTGTGGCCCTCAGAAGGTTTTTGGTGCCAGTGACTGATGACATTAACGTCTGGAGACAGGCCACACCCGCTGGCTCGTCAGGTGCAGCGGCAAGATCAGTGACCTGCACCTGGTTCACTGTCTGGCCCACGTTTCAGCTGCCATCGCTAGTCACACGGCAGGATATGCTCACGTGACCAGCACCCCCACAAAGTCCTGGGACTCCTGGGTCTTCAGGGGGCTCTCCTGGGCAGAGACACAAGCTGTACAATCTGCACAGCAAGAGGTCACCCAGGTGTGGCCTCACTGGCACAGCTGCCCCTGTGCTCTGCCCCGTGCCCTTTGTGAGCCCTCCCTGCCGCTGGGTCTCGGGAGTCCTGTGTTGAGTCGCCACACAGAACTCATTAGAAAGTTACTTAAACCACAAACACGCCTGCTTTGCACACACGTGCTACTCCCGCTGCCACGCAGCGCCCGGTCTGCTGACAGCAGCGTGTGGGCGCCGTGCCCGGCTCACCTGTCAGGAGACTTGCTCCTCGGCTTGCCCTTCTGGTGGCTGCTTTCCGCAAGCCGCTCCATCCCAGCCAGGGGACAGCTGGCCTGGGACAGGCCGTCCGACACGCCCGAGTAGGTGATCTCTTCGTAAAGAGGGGCCGAGGGGATGGCCGGGGAGATGGCCCGAAGGCCGTTGAGCGCCTCGAGCAGGGAGATGGGCTCGTAGCCAGGCGGGATGCTGTCGGAGCTCTGTGGGGACAAGGGGTAAGGGAAGGTGGCTGGTCAGGCCCCCTGCCGGGCTTGTGTTCCGGGACCTTCCACTCCCCAGACGCTCTTTCTGACAACTCCTATCCTACTGCACCTTCCAGGGACTTATGTCCCCTCCCTCGGCTGTCAGCCCCAGCACACACGCCTAGACACCCCAAAGGGTGAGATCCCCAGCCCGGGCCAGCCCACCCTGGCCTTCTGTCCCGCCTGGCCGGAGGTGGGCAGTGAGGGTTAGTGCAGACAGAAGTGGAGCAGGGTGGGGCGAAGCCATGCCAGAGGCTGCGGGGACCAGCAGGAGGGGTGCGTCCCTGAGCAGGGAGAGCCGGGTTGCCGGGAGCTCCGCCCCGACTTGGGCCCCTGGGGGGGGACACGCTCCAGCCACTCTGTTAGCAACAGACGCCCTAGTGAAGAGCCAGATTCCCCCTCGTTGGGGGTGGACTGACTGGACAAGGATGAGGAAGAAAGAAGACGCCAGGTCCCTGGGGAACAGCAGTCAGGCCACAGGGGCACTGCCCTGCCCCCAATTGTGCTCCCTGAAACCAGGTCAAGGGGCAAAACGCACCGGTGCCCTTTGTGGGACCCTGGCCCGCCTGAATAAGCGCCTGGAAGGGGAGAGTGAGACGTGGCAGCCCTGGGAACCAGGGGGCAGTGGGGGCGGTGGCAGAAGAGTGAGCGTCACTGGGCTGGCGCCGGGTGGGGGGAGGCCTTTCTGGACACTTGCCTTCAGCTGAAAGGGAAACAGTTACTCTCAACTCCTCCACCCTCTAAAAGCGAAAGGACTCTCCCGGCCGATTCTTGAGCGAGTTCCACCTCTCTAAGTCACACTGAGGACACTCGAGGGCACACAGCGCTTCAGCTGGGGCTGCCAGGGCCAGTGGAGGCTCCAGGTGGAGGCCTGGCCCAGCTGCCCCCTGGGTGCAGGGAGAGGCAAGGACACCAAAGAGCCGGGCAGAGGAGCGGGACGTGGCCAGCAAGCGAGCAGGGTGCTGCCTGCAGAGCGCCGTTAGTCCCACCCCCGTGGCGTCCGCTGCCAGCAAGAAACACAGGGAAACAGGGGGCTGGGAGACCAGGGGCAGGCAAAGCCAGTGGGGCGGCACAGGGCCAGCGTGAATGGCTTTCTGCCCGCGGGCCCGGAGCTTCGCTTCTCCCATGGACGCCCGTCCTGGGCAGGGATGCCAGGACAGGGCACAGAATCAACAGATTACGTTCATCAAACACTAGCCTGGGGTGGAAGGGATTTCCCATACTTGTCACTGTTTTAAAAATTAAGGAACAGGGCAAAAAACCATAGCCGTAGGACCAAACACACTTACTGTTTCCCTTTTAGGTTTCTTGCTGGTCAGGGAGGCAGGGTGCGACTTTGATTTTTTAAAGGGACACTGTCAAGATAAAAATCATATGTTTTACAACTACCCCCACCCGCACGCAATAGAGTGGGCTGCACAAGGTCTCTCTGACACGCTATTTCCTAGGCTCACTGTGACCGAGAGCTTCCGAAGCAGCTGACTCGGCTCTGGGTGGGCTGTCTGCACACCCGCCCAGCCCCAGGAGCCGCGCCACTGGTCCTACGCCAAGCGCCCAGGTGTGGAGCCCAACCCCATCCCCAGCGCCTGCACCATGGTTCTGGGTCACCCAGCGCAGCAGGTCTGGCCAAGGTGGACCTGCGAGTGGACAGGTACTCCCTAAAGCGGGCCTGGCTGGCTGCAGGGCACAGACCCTGAGGCCATTCGGCCAAAGCCCCCAGCCAGCTCCTGGCACCTCTGTCGGCACCGAGCCACTCCGTAATGTGTCACCAGCCTGTCACTCCTCAAGCAGCCTGGGAGAGCTGGCCCCTGACCTACCCACTCCACAGTTACCTTAGGGGCTCAGTGGAGAAAACTGCCCCATCTGGGCTCTTCCCAGTGTTACGTGGAAATGGCTCTTGCCCCCACGGTGGCGAGGGCATTGGCACTGGCACTTCTGGGGCACGTGGCAGTCGGAGCTGCCAGGTCACACGTCAGCCCCCGGCTGCCCTGCGCTGTGAGAGGCATCTCAGCCAGCTGGAGACAGAGGGACCCGTCGGATGCTCGGCCACCAGGGCAGAACCGGGAGGGGCAAAAACAAGCAGCAATAAACCCACCGGCATCCGAGCACATGCGCTGGGGGCCTGCTCCAGGCGCCCTTGAGCTGGCGGGCCCAGCAGGCAAAACGGTGTGGCTGCCCCGGGGGAGGGGGGGTCCCTAGGGATCCCCAGAAATGGTTTCTGCTCCAGCTTCAAGCCCACAATGTCAGATTTTGAAAGAAAAGCCAAAAATCTGGGTTTTAAGGGAGATTTCCAGATTGTTAAAGGTTGGCCCAATTTTCAGAAGCACTGGGAGGGCCAAACACGTCACACAAGCTGCCAGGTGGGCCTGGGTCAGGCCCTGATCAGGCAGGGCGAGAGGACGCAGGGAGCAAAGACACGGCTGGGACGTGCCAGCCGCAGGGCTCGCTCCTCTTTTCTTTTCAGAGAGGCAGCAGGGCCTTTGAGAGCCGCTGGACCCAAACCACCTCAGCTGACTGCAAGACAGGCTCACCTGCTGACAACGCAGTGGCTTGTGTCTGTCCCCTGCACCTGTGGGTCTCTTTGCTTCTCTCTCTCCACGTCTCTGTGTCCCTCTCTGTGTCTCTCAGTCTCTCTTTGGGTCCCTAAAGCCAGAGTCCCACCTCCCTTGCCTGCCTGACGCCCACCTGCAAGGTGCCAGGGGTGTCCCGGTGGAGGGCATCTCCTAGGGAAAGCGCAGGCCTGTTCACCGAGAACCAGGGGCCCCGGCCCCACTGGCTCAGTGCAGAGACAGCAACAACACCTCGAGCACACTCAGCAACGCCATGCCCGTGACAGGACCAAGATAATCAGTCCCAGCAGCTGACGTTCCCGGGCCCAGCCGGGTGGCCCCATGAATGCCGCACCTGCCCACAGGACAGATGAGGACCCAGGGATGCCGCTGCTCTGTGTGGGGCCGGCCCCTCCACGCCCAGGCAGGAGGCACTTACGGAGTGCTCCTCGTGGTCCAGGCTCTGCGCCAGCACCGGGCTGAAGGACACAGGGGACAGCGCTCCCGGCTTCTTCCGCACGGCCCGGATCTGCAGGAGGGCCCGGAAAGCTGGGCAGAAGGAGGGGCTCCCGTCAGACAGGGGCCCCACGCAGCCCAACCCAGAGGACCCTCTGAGCTCCCTCAAGCCCCACCCACGCTGTTCCACCCCACAGCAGTCATGTCAGAGGCAAACAGTCTTAACAGCACAGCCCAGGCAGGGGGACCAGCAAAGCCTCGGGTGCTGCCCCAGGGGGCTCCCGGCTGTACACCCGGCCCTGGCCTTGCCCCACGGAGCCTTCCCAGGACAGGATGGCAAGGACATTCATGTGTGAATGTTGTGACAGTGCGATGCCTCACGCTGGGGACACCAAGGGGCACAGACAGTGGCCACCCGGAGCAGGAAAATAAACCAGGACCTGGGACACCACCACCATCCCACTGGGCTGTCCTGCTCACGAAAGCAGGAATGCTCCCAAGTCACTGCCAGATGAGGAGCACAGGCCACGCCCCCACGAGAAACAGGCCACGGAACACAGCCAGGACCCCGGCTGAACCTGCATCCCGGGGGAGGGCGGGGACTAGGGGCTGCAGGAAGGTGTTTCCTCGAGGCTCTGCATGTCTCAGCGTCCCCCACACTTCATACCCAGGACCAGCAGTGGCTGCCTGGGAAGCATCCCTCTGCCACCGAGGCCACACAAGGGTCTGAGCTTGGGTCTGAGGACCCCGACCTGCAGATTCCTACACATCAGAAGATGCCCAAAGTGGGCCATGGGTCACCACACCCTCCCTGGAGGGCAGCCCCGCAGCCCACCCGCCCAGAGGCCTCCTTAGCTGCCTGCCTAGGCCCCAGGCAGCCCCGCCTGGGCTTCCCCTTCCCATCCTTCCCTCAGCCCCTGCTTAGAGACCCGTCCTCAATGCCCGGTGCCCAACTCTTCCCTCTCTCGCCTATTCCCTGTCTGCCCCACACTCAGCCCAGGCCCCTCAGGCAAGAACCCCCCTCCCCTCCCTGAGCCACCCCTGGCCATAGTGGGCCTCCTATCTCCACGCCTGTCCACACCCCGTGGTTCAACAGCAGCCACTGGGCCTTTGAGGCCCCTCAATCTAAAAGTTTGATTTTCCCAGCAGCAGATTTCGAGGGCTGGGTCGTACCATGCACTGGCGCACTCGCTGTCAGCGCTAACGTCAATGAACTACGTCAGCCAACGGGTCCCGACGAGTCGTGAACTGGATGAAGGACCCACGGCCCTTTATTTCTTAGCCAATGAGGGGCCTGCAGCCCCCGGGACCGCCCTGGCCCCGGCCCACTGTGGTGTGGCCAGTCCCCGATCGACAGAACCTCCCGAGGGGCAGGCCCCAGGCACTCACGCAGCCGACAGATGGGGCAGTTGTTGGCCTGGTAGCGCAGCGTGTCCGCGCAGGAGGTGCAGAGGCACAGGTGGCGGCAGGGCAGGATCAGCGTGTCCCGCAGGTCAGACAGGCACACCACACACTCGTTGCTGTTGTCACTGTTCTCGTCATCCGAGGGCTGTGGGGACAAGGGCCTGGGGGTCAGTGGCCTCCCAAGGCACAGAGCAGGGCCTTGCACTGCCCAGAGCAGGTCTTCCAGTCCCCAGCTGTGCCACCTGCTGTCCCCTCCTCCCCTGGGGACTTTCATGGCTGAGGGATGCCCAGAGGGCAGGAGGAGGTTACTGTGGAGCAGAGCTTCGGAGGTGCAGCCCAAGCCCTGGGCGCCATGCTCAAATCCAGTCCGTGCCCAGCACACGGCAGAGGGGAGAACCTGTGCCCCCCACCCACGCAAATCATGAGAATTCAGGTCGCTTTCTGTTCTTCAAACCCAAAGAGCAAATGTGGAAGACCCATGCCACTAAGGAACACCTCCTCACAATGATCAGGGTACCCATTTATTTGGTTAAAACACAACCAAATAAGTTAACTTGTTGGAAATACTTCCATTAAGTAATGGCAGCTTCCAGAAACCAAGTTAGCAACTGGACCCAGAGAAAGTAAAAATCTAAAACGGATCAGCAAACTATGACCACATCCTAGGCAATAAAAACAAAATAGGAAGTATCAACTTACCAGACTTCAAACTATACAACAAGGCTATAGTCATTAAAACAGCTTTGGACTGGCACAAGAACAGGGACATTGACCAGTGGAACAGAACAGAGAACCCAAAACTATGAAACACTGAAGAAAGAAATAGCAGAGATGTAAACAGGTGGAAGAATATACCATGCTCATGGGTCGGCAGAATCAACATTGTTAAAATGTCTATACTACCCAAAGTGACCTACAGAGTCAATGTAATCCCTATTAAAATACCATCATCGTTTTGCACAGATATAGAAAAAATAATTTTACGTTTCGTATGGAACCAGAGAAGATCCTGTATAGCAAAATCAATCCTAGGCAATAAAAACAAAATAGAAGGTATCAATTTACCAGACTTCAAACTATACTACAAGGCTATAGTCATTAAAACAGCTTTGGAGTGGCACAAGAACATTGACCAGTGGAACAGAACAGAGAACCCAGATATAAAACCATCCTCATATAGCCAACTAATCTTCAACAAAGCAGACAAAAATATACACTGGGGAAAAGAATCTTCATTCAATAAATGGTGCTGGGAAAACTGGATAGCCACATGCAGAAGACTGAAACAGGACCCACACCTTTCATCTCTCACAAAAATCAACTCACACTGGGTAAAAGACTTGAACATTAGGTATGAAACTATTAGAATTCTAGAGGAAAACATTGGAAATACTCTTCTAGACATTGGCCTAGGCAAAGAATTTATGAAGAAGACCCCAAAGGCAATCACAGCAGCAACAAAAATAAATAAATGGGACCTGATCAAATTAAAAAGCTTCTGCACAGCCAAAGAAACTGTCAAGAGAGCAAACAGACAACCTACAGAATGGGAGATAATTTTCGCAAGCTACACATCTGATAAAGGGCTGATAACTAGAATCTATTTAGAACTCAGAAAATCTGCCAGAAAAAAATCAAACAACCCCATCAAAAAATGGGCAAACGACATGAACAGAAACTTTTCAAAAGAAGACAGAATAATGGCCAACAAACATATGAAAAAATGCTCAACATCTCTAATCATCAGGGAAATGCAAATCAAAACCACAATGAGCTATCACTTAACTCCAGTGAGAATGGCCTTTATCAAAAAGTCCCCAAACAATAAATGCTGGCTGGCGTGGATGCGGAGAGAGAGGAACACTCCTACACTGCTGGAGGGACTGCAAACTAGTTCAACCTCTGTGGAAAGCAATATGGAGATACCTCAAAGCGATGCAAGTGGATCTACCATTTGATCCAGCAATCCCACTACTGGGCATCTACCCAAAATATCAAAAGTCACTTTATGAAAAAGACACCTGCACTCGAATGTTTATAGCAGCACAATTCACAATTGCAAAGCTGTGGAAACAACCCAAGTGCCCATCAATTCATGAGTAGATTAATAAAATGTGGTATATGTATACCATGGAGTACTACTCAGCTTTAAGAAACAGTGGTGATATAGCACCTCTTGTATATTCCTGGATAGAGCTGGAACCTATTCTACTAAGTATCTCAAGAATGGAAAAACAAGCACCACATGTACTCACCAGCAAATTGGTATTAACAGAGCAACACCTAAGCAGACATATACGAATAACATTTATCAGGTGTTGGGTAGGTGGGGGGGGGAGGGGATGGGTATATACAAACACTACGAGTAAGCTGTGCAACCTTTTGGGGATGGACACGCTTGAAGCTCTGACTTGAGGGGGGAGGGGGGACATGGGCAATACACGTTACGTAACCTTAACACTTGTACCCCCATAATATACTAAAAAAAAAACAAACTATGACCATAGCCTGTTTCTATAAATAAAGTTTTATTGGAACTCAGCCACACCCACTTGTTTCCATCTTGTCTGCAGCTGCTTCTGCCTGTAACGGCACTGCATGGATGTGACAAAGAATGTATGGCCCATACAGCCACATAGCATCTGGCCCTTTTCAGAAAGTTGGCCAACGCCGGGTGTCGAACTCGTGGATGCACACGGTGCCCTCCGCCAAGGAGCAGCCTGGCCAAAAGGCTCTGACCTCCCCAGCTTTCAGCTGGTTCCAGCAGTCCTGGACTCAGATGCCACATTGAAGCTGGTGTCTGAGACTTTCAGAGAGATTTTAACAAACAGGCAGCAGTTTTATTCATGCCAGCGTGCCTTTAAAAAGAATGAAAAAGACAACCAGGGTCTGGTATCCCTTTTCTGCCTCCGTTCCCTGGCCAGTTCCCCTGAGCATGCCTCGCCTGTGGCCACCACAGCTGCTTCTACAGACATGGAGAATGCTTGTCCCTCCGCCAGCAACTGCCGGCTCTGCTGCAGGGAGGAGGGAGTGGCTGGCAGGGGGCAGCGCTGGCCCCAACCAGGACTGCTTAGCTGGCACAGCTGAGGCCAGGGGGAGGGCAGCAGGTGGTCCCCAGACTGCCTTGGGACTTGGATGACAATTTACATAAGCCAGTGTATTTGCTGGAAAAAAGACAAAATGTTCTATAAACTGTTAACTTTTTTAAAAAATTAAGGAAAAATGACAGGATTTGGGGGTCCAGGACCTCCAGGGGAAGCCCTAGCAGCTCCCAGCGAGTGGGCTCCCATTAGGGCAGACGGAACCTGGGAGTGAGGCTGGCCTGGAGCCCAGGCAGGCACCCGGCACACGGACACACACCTTGGTCTCCTGGTTGTTCTTATTCTCGATGCCGTAGATCTCCTGCAGGAGGTAGCTGACCCGGTCCACCTGGGAGCAGAGAAGGGCTCGCTGGACTCCTCGCACCCACCCAGCCCAACACCACCTCCCGGCACCCAAGGGGGCAGTTATCCCAGGGAACACTGTCCGGCCTGTCCAGCCCAACCCCTATGACCAAGGAGGGGAAGGGCAGGGAAAACCTGCCACCTGCCCAGCCCAACCAGCAGCACAGGGAGCAAAGTTGGGGTCAGTGGTCTGCCCGCCACACAGGGCCTACAGCCATGTCCTCTGCTACTCTGCCACCCCAGCACCAGAGAGAAACCACGTGGACCCACCCAGCCCCACCCCAAAGGTTGCCTTTAGGCGTGAGATGGCAGCCTAAGCATCTGCTGTTTCCCAAGTCTCCTTCCAAAGACTGGAACACGCTTCTGGTTTGGCCTCAAGGACACGGAACCCATGTCTATAAGCTGTGTTCTGTCCTGCCACTCACTCGCAGCCTGCAGGCCTCACACTGACCATGTTCCAAAACAGTCTGAGCTGCTGGGTTTCCCGCAGTTCCACAGACCACGAGCAGAACCCCAGAGAGCCAAAGACAAGTGCCCTGACTGTCACTGGGGTCTCCTGGCATGTTCAAGGGTCTGGACACATTAGAGTGTGCTCCCCCTCCTCTTTTTGAAAGCTAACAAGCACATTCCCAAGTGGTGGCTTGAAACAGGTCAGATGCACCTAAGCAACTATACACAGGGTAACTCCTAACATGGCTTTGGAATACAGACATTGCCTATAGACTGTTCAAACCAGTGCCAATATCAAGATCTAACAATGGTCAGATTATAGGATTCCATCCTCTTGAATTTTCACAGTGCTTAAGTGGGAGGCACCAGGAATCACTCTCCCCAGTGCAGGACCACAGAACTCCTGACTCCAAAGGAAGGATAGGAGGATAGAAGGAGGATAGGAGGATAGAAGGTCTGCAGCTTCTCATTTGTTCCAGGATATTTCACCCTTCTGTGCAAATACTGATGAAGTCTGTCCAACTCCCTGTCCCACACTGACATATCTTCAGCAATTTGTAAGAAGTAGCAGAGGCGGCTGCAGTCTGTTTCCTGTCTCTTTCCCTCCTTTCTCTATCCATTTACTCAGCAGCAAGTGTTTACTGAATGTTGACTCTGTTCCAGGCACCATGGTCCATACTGGGCAAAACTCAGGGCCCAGGAGGGTCAGTGCTGGTATGCGGTGGGTACGGAACACACGTACATTCACCCAAAGACAGGGACCCCGACAGCCCGGGACCCAGAACCCAACCAGGAAGACACAAGTGACAGGCTCTTGCACGGCGATTTCGATGGCAGCCACAGCGGCCCAGGAGGAATAGTCCACGAAGACTACTGAAGTGTGTGTGTGTCTTTTAAATCAAAAAGGGCCATGCCATGTCATCCGAAAGACTTACGATTTGCTTCTGCTTCAACGGCTTCACGGAGAAGCTGCCGTCCACATGCTGCAGGGGGAAAGACACGGAGGTTAGCTGGTGGGCGCGGCTGCACTGAGCACTCCTGCCCGGCCGGCTCCAGGCCCTTTCCCGGCCAGTCCACGCCCACAGCTGAAAAAAGGAAGGGCCACATGAAGACTGAAGAGCCAGGCCAGAATTTTTCAAATCTGGCCCTCAGACTTAGCTTTGAAACCACACAGAGAGCCTTCTAAAAATGCAGCTCCTGGCCCCGCCCTGCCCTACGGAAGCCAACTCTCCCTGGGCAATCCTCACACACGTGCAAGCTGAAGGCCACTCAGCCAAGTTCAGGTGCCGGACACGAGCCTCCCCACACTGTGCACAGCAGACTTCAAGACAAACAAGTGCTCGCTCTCAAAGGGCGCGGTTTAGTCAGAAAGACAGCCCAAGAGCGTGCACACGCAAGCAACGCTCAGAGCCCTGAAAACGTAAGAACGAAATAGAACAAAAGGTGTTCGGTGGCGTCCAGGGAAATACTCTGTTCAGAGTTCGACAAGGTTAATGAAGGTATCAGGTCTGAGATCTTGCAACAACACTAATTATCCCTTTGGAGTCAACCAAGACCAGCAGCACTCAGGATTTTCAGGTGAGGCTGGTGGGCCGTAAAAGAAATTTGCACAAGGCTGGACTCCAAATATAAAGCAGTTTCTCACTGGTCTCTAAACCGGAAGCACAGACTGGACTGTTTGCCAGAGAAGGCCCATCTGCCTTGGCCAGAGATGTGTAAACAGTCACCATCTCTTCGACAAGGCGGAGCTCGGGGACTGCAGCGGCCAAGCCCAGCACTAGGCAGGGAGGAGGCGGCCTCTGCCTGGTCAGCACCCCGGCCCCAGGAGAACACAGACCTAGCCATGCCACAACACAAACAGATCTGAGGGGCCCTGACCCAGCCATAGGGACCCCTGGGGAGTTCTGGAAAGACAGACCCCAGGACAGAGCCCAACTCTGCACTTGAAGCTCTCAGGGGCTGCAGTGGCACAGGGGGAGGGAATGGGGGGATAGCAGCATGCAGGGGTGGTGGGAGGGGAGCCCCAACAAGCAGCTGTGCCTGCTCCACGTGCTGCTCTGGGGCACGGGCTGGCACTGAGAACACTTGCAACTGCAGAGGCAACTGCAGAGCACAGATCTCAGAGTGTGCGGTGGGGGGAGGGTGTGTTCTCACACTGGGACACCCACTACACCTCCAGCAAGGTCCTCTGTGTACAGGGACACAGGGGCCTGGGGCCATACCAGCCAGACGGCAGACCCTCGTCCATCCTGCCAGCATTCGCTGAGCATCCGCTACCTGCCAGGCATCACACTCGGCTCCAAGCTTAGCCGGTTCTGCCCCCGCCAGCGTCAAGCAATGAGCACAGCAGATGTCTGCCCCCAGCGAAGAAGAGGTCTCCTGCAGGGAGCGAGGCCCACCAGGGTCAGGGTGCTGCAGCCGGGTAGAGGAAGGAGCAGAGGGCCTTTGTGGGACGGTGAGGGGTCTCAAGTGACACCCAAGGGAACGGCCTGGTGGGAAAGGGCCATGGCCTGAGGAGGTGACGGCATCACCTCAGTGGAGTTAGTCTGGGGCAGGGAGCCCCTCCTGTGGGCACCCCAGCCCACGTCAGCAGCTTCTAGAGCAGCGGTCCCCAATCTTTTTGGCATCAGGGACGGGTTTCAGGGAAGACACTTTTTCCACAGATGGGGTGGAGGGATGGGCAGAGCCCAGACACGGACGAGAAGCGGTGACGAGAGATGGGAAGCGGCTGCAAACACAGATGAAGCTTTGCTCATGCCACTCACCTCCTGCTGTGCGCCTGGCTCCTAGTTTCATGGAGGACAATTTTTCCACGGGGTGGGGGTGGGAAGGGGGAAGAGGCAGAGACTGCTACACCGCCTAGTTCCTAACAGGCCATGGACCAATACCAGCCCGAGGCCCAGGGGTTGGGAACCATAGTTCTAGAGAGTTCTATAGGGCAGGCCTTGGCCTAGAACATTCTCCCTCGCCATACTCCAAACCCTCTTTGAAATGCCTCCTGCTGGGGACGTTTGGCCTCATGACCAGCCTCCTGGAAGCACAGGGCAATCTCCTACCTGCCCTGGGCCCTGACCCCCAACCCAGGCTTCTAGTCTCAGAGGGCCACCCCTCTGGTCCCAGCTCCCAGGCCCTAGGGACGGTGGGGGTCAGACACCTACCTTTTCAAAGGCAGCCAAGAGCACGTGGGCATGGCCAGTCACTTCCACAACTGCGGGGAGAGGGGGACAGAGCAGTTAATGCCAAAGCGACCCCCCCCACCTGGCCTCCCTACCTTCCCAGCACTCGGCCTCAGACACAGTCCGGAGCCTGCTCCAGGGCTCGGCCTCCTCTGCCTGGAGCCCCCACAGCTGCCCGGGCCGCTGCCCAGCGCCCTGACCCTCTGAGCTGCCCACGTGGCAAGCCTGGGCCCTGCACTGACGTCCTCCCTCACTTTTGCAGGAGGCCTCCGGAAGCAGCTCCCTCCTGGAGGGCCCACGCTCAGGGGGATGGAAGGGGACAAGCCGACGCCACTCACCGTCTCCCTCGTCCACCACGGCCTGGATGACCACTGGAAACACGCCTCGGTCCAGGTCAAAGTTCAACTGAGGGGAGAAGAGGCAAGAACACTCAGCACGTGCGGCAGCCGAGCGAGGCTGAGCCTGAGGGAGGGACCGGTGAGCGGGAGGACGGGTGGAGGGAGGGACGGGTGAGCGGAGGGTGGGTCTAAACAGCAGGGAAGGCGAAAGCCTGGCTGGGCACCTTTGGGTTTTTTTTTTTGAGACAGAGTCTCACTCTGTTGCCCGGGCTAGAGTGCCATGGCGTCAGTCTGGCTCACAGCAACCTCAAACTTCTGGGCTCAAGCAATCCTCCTGCCTCAGCCTCCTGAGTAGCTGGGACTACAGGCATGCGCCACCACGCCCCGCTAAGTTTTTCTATATACTTTTAGTTGGCCAATTAATTTCTTTCTATTTTTAGTAGAGACAGAGTCTTGCTCTTGCTCAGGCTGATTTTGAACTCCTGACCTTGAGTGACCCTCCCGCCTTGGCCTCCCAGAGTGCTAGGATTACAGGCGTGAGCCACCGCGCCCGGCCACCTTTGGGGTTTTTCGAGGTGAAATACACATAACATAAAAGTTGCCATTTTAGCCACGTTTAAAAAGGTGTTAAGTACATCCACAATGACATGTAATCGGCACCCCACGCAGCAACCCCACGCCAAGGAACACTCACTCCCCAGCCCCGGCCCCCACCAATCTGCTCTGTCCTGACAGATCTGCATCTTCCGGACACTTCACACAAGTGGCATCATACAGCATGTGGCCTCTTGTGTCTGGCTGCCCTCACTTCACACGTTTTCAAAGTTCATCTGTGCCACAGCGTGACTGGCGCTTCCTCCCGTCGTGTGGCCGAGCGACACCCCAGTGTGGACAGCCCTCGGCTCTGCCTGCACCTGCCGACGGGCACGCGGCTGCTTCCACTGCCTGGCGACCGTGCGTGGTGCCGCTGCGACCGCGACGTGCCGGCGTCTGCGGGAACGTGGGCTTCACCCTCTTGGGCGCATGCCTCAGGGTGGGAGTGCGGGTCCACGGTAACTATTTAACTCTCTGAAGAAACGCTTGACTTGCCCCCCCCATATGACAGAAGGAAAGTGGAGGAGACCACGTGGCTTGTCCGAGGTCAAGGAGAGCCGCGTCATGTCTTTCATTACACCCCTGCCGTGCTCAGGCTAACAGCTGCTCCCCGACCCACGGCCCTGAGGCCCCGCAGCCAGCCTGGACTCGCTCCTCACGGGAGCCCCGCGGCCCAGGTCCTACCTGGGGGGCCAAGAAGGGCTCCCCGGGCCTCCAAGTGCAGGCCCCCATGAACACTGTCAGCCCGGGCCTCTCCGCACGGCTTCTGCCTGCCACGCTGAGGAACGCCACCGGACCGCCACCCGCCCCCGACTCCCTGCTGGACGAGGGGCACGGAGCACAGACACGCGGCCCGGCTGGTCAGCGCCACACCCTGTGTCGGCCACAGAGCAGCAACACACACGTGTGTTTCTTTATTCTGGGGAGGAAGCCAAGACTTGTCTGTCAGTGAAGATTTACTAAAAGAACGGACGAAAACATACTAAACTCTGGAAACGTACTAAAACCCACTGATTGTACCTAAAATGAGCAAACTGTGTGATATGTGAGTCACAACACAATAAAGGTGTTAAGAAACAGAAAAAAACAAAAACTGGATAAAATCCCAATGGCTGCCAGGCGTGGCCCAGGCCCTCTGCCTCCAGCCTGGAACAGTAGGCCTGGCTTAGGCAAGACCACCCACGGGGAGGGGACAGCCCCACAGTCTGTCTCCAGCAACCGCCCACCCGCCCGCCCGTGCAATGTCACAGTGGAGCTGGCCCACAGCTGCTCGTCATCCTGAGGACTGACAAGGAACCCCCGGTGGGAAGAGGCTCCCAGCAGAGCCCAGCGTCAGGGACGCACTGGGCTGCCTCCCTTCTCCAGCTGTCCCTCCATGAGGCAGGCCGCAGCAGCAGAGCTGGGCACATGTCCCCACCCTAGTGGCCCAGGGGGACTGTCATCTCAAGTCCTTCGAGCTCTCTGAGCTTTAGTTTCCTGCTCTGTAAGCTGTGGTCATCACTGCGCCTCCCACATGGGTTTCAAGGACAAGGCACTACTGGTGTCCTCCCGCCAGGCCCAGCCCCGCAGACACAGGGCAGCGCCCAGGCCCACCAGGCACACCCACCCAGCAGGGGCCCCACGCCGGCACGTGGCCAGGACCCACTGGCACATGTCTACAGCAGGATTCCTGCCCCCCGGGAGCCAACAGCCACACTCCTGACAGTCCTGGCCACATGAGAAGCCCTGGGAGGCAGCCATCAGCTTGACCTGTCAGCACACGTCCACACGGCCAGTCTCCACGTCTGCTCATGAGCAAGGGTCATGGGTCAGAGGTGGCCAGCCGGAGACACCGGCATGGGGGCTGCACTGGGGAAGCCACGAAGGTCTCCATCACCAGAGAAACGCCAAGAAGTGGCAGGGCGCTGGCACAGGGCAGACTCAGGACTGTGGCTTCAAGTCTGCTCCTCACCTGTTCACTATGAATGAGCCTTGACCTGAGCCCCAATTTCCCTACATGGAAAAAGGGCCAGAAGCCACTGCCAGCACAAAGGCTCTGAGAGCCATGCCCGGCAGAACACGTGGTCAGCGCCGACTCGAAGCTCCAGTGTCAAGGAACAGGCGCCAAGGGAAGCCTCCTCTGGCATGGTGGCCACAAGCAGAGGAAAGGAAAGGCATGTGGAAGGTGGCCCAGGAGGGTGACAAGGATGTGTCCACACCTACCCATGACCCAGTCAGGCCACAGGCTCCCACCATCTCGAAGATGCCATAGAAACCTGGTCCTGCCAAAGGCAGGGACACTCCTTTCCCCGGCTCCTGCCCTGCTCTGGGGTGACCAGCAGGGGGCGATCACACTGAGACAGCACACAGAGCCATAGTCCTGGAGTTGCCCATGAGGCTCCCAGGATACCCTCCCAAGGGCTGCAATTAGTCCTGGAGTTGCCCATGAGGCTCCCAGGATACCCTCCCAAGGGCTGCAATTAAGCCCAGGAAAGGAGAGCTCACGCACTGGTGGCGGCTCCTTTAGGTGGAGGGACTGGGGGGGGGGAAGCAGAGCTCTGTGGGGCTCAGCCCTGTGCACCTCACCTCCCTGAGCACCCACCCCGCCCTCAAGCCGCACCCCGCGCCTGGGACAGCACCCAGCACCTCCGCAGTGCTGCTCGCACAGGTGCCTCCAGGTGATGGCACTTCGTCCTCATGGCACTCTACAAACCGAATGCTGACAGGTGTGTTTTGCTGGAGTTAGAATAAAAACCAGCGGTCGAGGGAGGTGTGCGTGGTGGTTCCTAAGCGGGCGGTAACCATAGCCTGTCCCTTCCCTCTATGGCTGATAGACCCAGGCGCCCCGTGTAAGCGCTTTGCACGCCTATCACAGACCCACACAGCCACTCTGGTGGGGGGACTGCCTCTGGCTCCAGGCTCCAGACGGGAAACCAGGATCAGAAGCCGCAGGGCTCAGCCAGGCTTTACAGACTCGACAGAGCTGGGGCGGCCTCCCGGCCTCTCACCTGGATCCTCCCTGCTCCTAGGAGAAGCCACTGCTGCCACCCTACAGGACCCTGTACTTCTTCTACTAGCCCCGACCCACTAGGGGACTCCCCAACCTGTCCAAACCGCACTGAGAAGGCGCAGGCGGCTGTCGTCTCCACCTGCCCAGCAGCCTCTGCCAGTGGCTGCACCCGATTTTCCTTGGGGAACCACCTCTCCTCCTCTGGGTTTGCGTGGTCTGGCAAGAGGAAGCATACCCAGCCCAAGCAGGGGCCACGGAGGGAAGGCACACAGCCTTCAAGTGCTCTGGGACCTGGGTGGGACTGTCACCATGCTGGGTGCTGAGAGCAAGGCCAGCTCAGAGGGCGCAAGGCCACATGACAGAGAGACCATCCCCATGACACGGGCCCTGGAAGAAACCTCAAGCCATGCAGGCTTTCAGAGCCTATAAGAATGAATCCCTGTTTTCTTCTCTTAAGCCAGACTGAGTTATCTTTCTGTCACTTGCAACCAACAGTCCTGACAAAGACGCCATTTCCAAGGCTGCCTGCTCACAGGCAGCTCAGCTGTGGTCAGTGGAGCCCAGGGCTGCACACGGACACCTGCCCTGCTTTCTCAGCCAACCCTGACTGAGGACCCATCCTGGCGGGCCCAGTGCTGGGCCCGGGGGCAGAGACGAGGGTGACTGGGGCTACTGTGGCCCCAACACCCCCTTGGATGCTGCCGCCTCCTCTGCAAAGCCATAGCTCACACCCGTCCCAGCGCCAGGCGCCCCGGGGGCCCCAGGGAACATGGGACAAACAGGCAGCCAGGACCGTCCCCCCAGAAACTCCCGCTCCCAAGAGCTCAGCACACATGCTGCATGTCACCCACAGTCACGTGTGAGAGCGGGCACATCACGCATGGGATGCTGGGGAGGACAGGTGCTGCTGCCCCCGAGGGCACCTCAGGGAGACGCTATGGCAACGCAGGGGTGCGGGGCTTCTGCGGGGAAAGCTGCTGCCCTGCCCAGAGGAGGGAGACCTGGGGCGGCCACCACCAGCACGAGTCTCACCGAGCTCTCAGGCTCATGGGGCCTGGCAGGGGCCAGAGTGTGGAATGTCTCCTCCAGCCTCACGGCCAGGGTCCTTCAGGGTCCCCCAGTACACGGGAGTCCGAGCTCCAGGCCAGAGGGACACTGGGAAGCCAGGCACAGGCACGGGGGCAGCGAGTGGCTCTGACTGAAACAGCGGGAGAGGGGCTGGCGGAGACGCCACTGAGCCGGCAGCCTGCAAAAGGCCTCTGGGACACCTCTAAGTGCTGACGCAAAAACACGTCCACGGCACGACTTAGGAAAGAATAAAGGCAAAGGCTGAAGGGAAGCTGCTGTGCTGCGGTCCACGGCCCGACAACACAGGGGGAGCCGGAGCCTCTGTGACGGCCGCTCTGTCAGCCTCTGGTCACCCAAGCCAGACGACACTCGGCCCCAGCCCCAGCCGTGCACCAGTCCGACTGGCCAGCCACGTCTGCTGCTCCAGAGAATCATGGAGGAATCTGAACAAACAGGCCCTGCGACGCAGGTTCCCACCCCAAGGAGAGAGAATCCGGTGAAGGGCAGGGGGCGGGGAGGGGGACCTGGCTGGAATCACCTCGTCGTCCTTCCACTCGGCGAAGTCGATCTTGAAGGAGGGCAGGGAGAACTGCTGGCTCACCCCTCTCTTGTAGTGCACGGTCTCGGACTGCAGCAGAGGGCTCCTGGGGCTGTACCTGAGGGCATCGGGGAGGAAGGTGGTGAGGCTATGGTGGGCAGGGACCCCTCTGTGCTTGACCGGTTGTCCCTCCCAGCTCCTGCAGCCAGCAGGGCTGCCACTGCCTGCCTTTTGGGGACCTCTGTGGTTGGGGGCACCCTATGTGGCCATGGGGCCCTGCCTCTTCCCTGGCTCATGCTGCATCTCTGCCCAGGTCACTCCTGGCTGATTCATCCTAAGCCCACACCTGCCTGGCGTCTCTGCTACCTTTCCAGACTTGGCTACACCTTCCCACAAGGTGCTGAGTTTGTTTCCTTCTTTGAATGAACGCAGTACAAAAGCACACACGGTGCAAGACACCTGCTCCCAGCTTCTCTGCTCAAGCAACAGGGCAGGCAGGACTCCAGGCCTGGGCTCTCAGCCACCGGGCCGCCAAGGGGCCCACTCCAGTGCAGGAAGGGAGGGAGCACATTTCTACCTGTCAGTAAGGCCACTGGGGGCCACCTGCCCTTGCAGACTGGAGGCAGGTTTGCCCAGGTCCTGCTGAAGATGCAGGCTTCAAACTTACTTCACATAAAATCTCCAAAAGCTCAGATACATAATTGTGACACAGTAAGAAACATATCTTTGGCCGGGCCCGATGGCTCACGCCTGTAATCCTAGCACTCTAGGAGGCTGAGGTAGGCGGATTGCTCAAGATCAGGAGTTTGAGACCAGCCTGAGCAAGAGTGAGACCCTGTCTCTACTATAAATAGAAAGAAATTAATTGGCCAACTAATATATACAGAAAAAATTATCTGGGCATGGTGGCGCACACCTGTAGTCCCAGCTCCTCGGGAGGCTGAGGCAGCAGGATTGCTTGAGCCAAGAGTTGAGGTTGCTGTGAGCTAGGCTGACGCCACGGCACTCGCTCTAGCCTGAGCAACAAAGTGAGACTCTGTCTCAAAAAAAAAAAAGAAACATATCTTTGGTCTCTGTCCTGGTTCCTGGCACAGAGCGCTTACTCCCTTGGAATTTCCTGGGTGACAGGAGCATCTTTTGTTCTAATGAGGTGACTCTTGGAGGCTCCTGGATGGGGCTGGTCACTACAATGACCTAGCCAGGATTAGAAAGAAGCCTGGAACTTTCAGCCCCACCCCACCTCTATCCTCCAAGGAAGGGGAGAAGAGAATAGAGTTAACAACCAATCATGCCTATGTAAAGAAGCCTCCAGAGTAGAAGAAAACTCAAGGTTGGCCGGGCGCAGTGGCTCATGCCTGTAATCCCAGCACTCTAGGAGGCCAAGGCGGTAGGACCGCTTGAGCCCAGGAGTCTGAGGCTGCTGTGAGCTAGTCAGGAGAACTTCTGGGTTGCTGTGCACGCCAGGTGTGTGCCCAGAGAAGGTATGGAAGCTCCACGCCCCTCGCGCCCCCCCACGTACCTCTGCATTTGGCTGCTCACCCAAACCCCTGTGACACACTGAAAAAGGCAGGTGTTTTCCTGAGTTCTGTGGGCCATTTGCGCAAATTACCAAGCCCAAGTGGGGGCTGTGGGAACCCTGATTTATAGCTTGGTCAGCAGCACAGGTGACAAGCTGGGGCTGGCAACTGGCACCTACAGTGAGGGCAGCCTTGTGGGACTGAGCCCTCAACCAGTGGGGTCTGCGCTAACTCTAGGAAGCCAGTGTCACCACAGCGAACTGAGGATGACTCGGTGGGGAAACGCCCCATGCTTTGGTGAAGCACTGAGGGTGCAGTGAGAGAAACAGCTCGTCTTCTCCAGCGGGTCGAGAAGCAGAGGAGGCTCCGAGCAGCCCAGGGGTGGGACTCACACGGCCCTGCCGTTCAGGAACTCCTCCACCGCCTGGCAGTAGATGGTGATGGCCACGCGGGCGTCGGCGTCGAAGGTGAACTCCAGGCTGTAGAGCACCCGGGGCTTCTCGCTGTCCTCGGTGGGGCTGTCAGCATCGTCCTTGTACCTACCCGAGGGGGGCGCAGAGGCAGCAGGTCAGGGGGCCACAGCCTGTAAGAGCCGCCATCTGTCCTGCACGGCAGGGCCCACGGAGGCAGCTGCTGGACACACCTCGCTTTCCAGCACAGGTGGAGGCCCAGCTCCTGCTTGGACAACAGGCCAACAACCAAGGTTCACCTCCCCCTCTGCCCACAGAAAGGAGGTAAATGCTCTGGGTTTAGGGACGGCCCCAGATGCCTCACGTCTTACTGGAATCGGGGGCCGGTCACTCTGGGCCGTGGGGGGCTGTCCTGTGCACGGCAGGAGGTGCAGCAGCACCCGCCTCCCTCCACTAGAGGGAGGGAGGCCCTACCCCCGGGAGCGCCCTACCCTCAGACTCGTGTCCCCTGGGGCACCAGCGCCAGTTGAGAACCATGGTGTAAAGGACCTAGCTCCATGCCCTTTCCCATCCTCGCCCAAGGGGCCGCTCTGACTCCCCTGGCCCTGCTCACAGCCTGGGGTTCCACACGGGGCCCACTCGAGGCCCACTCTTCTTCCCAGCATGCACCTGGAACCCTGCCCAGGCAGGTCCCACAGAGCCCCAGCACCCAGGCAGGACCAAGGGCTACCTCACAAGCCGCAGCGAGTCTTTGCGGATGTTCACCAGGCTCCTCAGTGTCTTCACGGGCTCGTGGGGGGCGGGAGTGACATAGGGAAACTAGGAGGGAAAAGCAGGAAACAGCCCCAGGTCACTGCCTGGGAGGGGCAGAGGACAGAAAGCACAAGGCTCACAGCCCCCGCCAGTGTCCTGGGCTCTGTCCCCACACAAGGGACTGCGTGGACGCTGGGTACGTTGTTTTCATACCCAGCACAGCCAGGACCACGCTGCCCTGAAGAGAATCCGGCCTCTCGGCCTCGTCCCCAGTTCCAAGGAGGACAACCCTCAGCGACTCCACATGCCCACAGGGATGGGGCAGAGGCGGCCAAGGTTGGCCTCTTGAGCTACGTTCCTGGTGGTGGGATGTAATGCTTGCTGCTGCCTCTGAACAAGGCCGTCGATTCACACGACAAGGACAGCCAGTAAAGGCTCAGGAAGGTTCGTGCACGAGTGCACACAAAGCTGGCGACATCTGGAAGACTCGGCTGTGTACGGCAGCGTTCTACAGGACACTGTCACCGGGAACCGGGTGGGGGCACACAGATCGAGGATGTCTTACAACCTCAGGCGAGTCCACGCTGGTGTCAAGGTAAGTTGTAAGACAGACCCATGAAGGCCTGCGGGGGCCGCGCCCCAGCGGGAGGGGTTGCACGGGCGGCAGAGTCAAGGCTGCTGCTGCTGCTGACCCCGAGGACGGCTCCCTGCTGGCCCCACAGGCCAGAGCGGGCAGCCTCAGGATCACAGTTCCATGTCACACAGCTGCCCAGTGGCTGAGACGGCCTGGAAACCCTGGTCTGAAGGACCCTGCCAGGCCCGAGGGACACTCCGGGTCTCGGCGGCTTCAGGGAGAGGGAGCCTGGCGTCTCCTTAGAGAGAGTTCTCCTGCAGGGCCCCTGCCATCGCCTCCAGAGAGTTTATGGGCCCTCTCACCTCCTCCTCTGCTCTCCGGCCGCCCTGCTTTCCTGCTCTCCTGGGGGCTCCGTCCTGCCCACATGGCTTGGCTCAGCCACGGCTCCGTGGGGCCTCCCCTCCGTCCCTCTCTCTTTTGACCATTCACTCAGCCAATGTCAACCATCTGTACCCCACTAGGGAACTCCTGTCCCAGCCCCTGGAAGAGCGCCAGGCACACAGCAGGTGCCAAATCTGTGCTGAACGAATGGACAGCCATGCTTGAATGTGCACTCTTCTGGTAACTCGTGAAAAATACTTGCTGTTTACACTTCTCCTCTTGCCCATCATTCTATGGCATATAGATGTTCTTTCTGCTTTTTCTTTTTTCTTTTTTTTTTTTTTCTTTCCATTTTGCAGATGAATTTTCTGCTTTTTAAAGAAAGTCACCCAAGAGGCCTAAATCTGTACCTTTCTGCAGCCCCTGCAGCCTGGATGCACCAGTTCAATGTGGCTGCTCTGTCCCTTGGCGACCTGCACCTGGCCGTCTGGCCTCTAAGGGGCAGTGCCAGGACATGCCCTGCTCCAGTCACACGCCCATGTCCAGCTCAACTGCAGGTCTGCCGGGAGCTCTGCCCATCTGGGGTGATGCGGTGCCTGCCTGCCCCCCAGTGGGGACAGATGGCTGGGGGACAGGGCCTCTCACACTAGTGGGGACAGACGGCTGGGGACAGAGCCTCTGACCCCTGCAGCCCCACGAGCCAGCTCTGTTCAGACCCACCTGGACCGGACGGCTGCCCAAGAAGTTCAGATCCATGTTCTCGCCAAAGAGGTAACCTTCAGGGTGGGGGGTGTCGAATTTCTCGCCTCCCATGAAAAAGTGCGAAGCAAAGTAGTTTCCTGTGTACAAAAAGAAACACAGTTGTAGATTCTCAGGCTCCACACAGCCCAGGGGGAACGTGTGGTGGCTGAGAAGCCAGCCCTGAGAAAGGCTCCATCCTGGGAGAAGCCGCTGCCCACAGCGGCTGGACCTCCTGCTGATGGCCCAACCAGCTCGGCCTCTGCACACCGCCAGCCTCAACGCCCTTCCCTCTCCGGGACCCTTCCTGCTCAGACTCGGCAGGAAGTCTCGGCTCCTGCCCCACTTCCTCCTGCTGCGGGCTGAGCTGTGTCCCCCACAAAGACAAGTTCCAGTTCCACTCCACCCCACCGCCCTCACCCCCTGTACACGTGACCTTGTTTAGAAAGAGGGTCTTTGCCAATGTAATCAAGTTAAGACGAGGCTATGATGCGGTCATACTGAATTAGGGGACCCTAATCCAACGACTAGTGTCTCAGTAAAAGAAAGGAGAAGGAGACGTGGATACAAGGGAAAGCAGAGACGGGAGTGATGCGGCCACCAGCCAACGACAAGGAACCCGGAGCCTCCAGGAGCAGGACACAAGACAGGCTTCTCCCCCAGTGCTTTTGGCAGGAGTGCCCCTGCTGACACCAAGGTGTCTCTAGACACCTCTGGAACCCTGACAGAAACATGCATGTTGCTTTAAGCCATGTATCACCTACATTTCCTTACCCCAGGCTCAGCGCGTGGTCACGCCTAATAACTCCTACACTTGGAGGCCGAGGCGGGCCCGATTGCTCACAGGTCACGGAGTCAACAAGACCAGCTGACACAGAGCCGAGACATCCCGGCTCTACTCAAAAATACAAGAAATAACTGCCACTAACAAACATCATAGAAAAATTACGGCTGGGCATCGGTCCAGTGCATGCCTGTATCCCAACAGCTACTCGGGCGAGGTGAAGGCAGGAAGGATCCGCTTGAGCCCAGGAGTTTGGAGCGTTGCTGTGAGCATAGCTCGATGCCCACCGCATCTACCCCGACAACAACAAGTGACGAGCTCCTGTCTCAAAAAAATAAATAAATAAATAAATAAATAAATAAATGATCATTTGTTACAGCCATGCCCAGAAATCCTTGCACATTCCCTGACTCCAGACTAAGTTCCCCCAACACCCCCAAACCCAGGCCCCGCGTCCTTTCTCAGTTTAGCACTGATCATGGGTAAAACCGTGTGGTCTGGGTTACTACCGCACCCTCGCCTGACCCTCCAAGAGGACTTTAGCCCAGAACAGGTTCCCATGACGTCCCTGGCACACGCACGCAGGCACTAACTCTGCCTTCCTCCTATGAGGAAAGGAACGAGAGCCTCAAAGAACCGAGCACACGGCGTCCCCTGTGCCTCCTGACCTGATGCCTGCCCTGTCCCCGTGTCTCTCTGCACGGAGGCCCTGAGAGGAAGGCCCAGGTGTCCCTCAGCCTCACGTGCAACAGGGACTGCTGGGCGCCTGAGCCCAGGTGGATCCTTCCTGAGAACCACAGCCCCAGTTACGGTGGGCACAGCCATGGCCACTGGGCCACGGCGATGAGGCCAGGAAGCTCCTCCCCAGGGAGAGGCCCAGAAGCAGGAGTCCAGCCTGACTGCTCTCGACAGCAGAGAACATAAGGCGGAATGGCAGGCGTGGCCCCAACCCTAACCCACCCTGGACAACAGGAACCTGTGTGTGAGACTCAACCGCAGCGAGAAAAAGAATAAAGCGGCAGCTAGTTAAACCCTGTAAGACCCTCATTTCGTGGAACATCATGTAGCTGTTAGAATCAAGCAGACCCGACACACTGACGTGGAATGACAGCCATGCAATAGTCGTTATTAAATAAGTCAAGTTGAATGTGCTGAAAATCAAGATCTCATTTGGGGGAAACCTGCACGTGAGGACACGGGCATTAGACAGGTTCTAAGGACACAGAGAATGGTCTGAAAGGAAGCGCCCAAGAGGCTGCCAGAGACATGAGCGCAGACCCGACATCCCGCTTTGTGTTAGCATCCTGGCATTGAGCATGCACCGATGCGGTGTTTTTAAAGCAATAAAAAGAACAGCTGAGATCCAGGTAAGCACAGGATGCCTTCCCACATCACCTGGAGCTCAACGCAGCCCATCGCATGAAATCACCAGTGCACCTGACTGTGCAGAGTCTTCAAAGGTGATATGTCCCACAGCAGTCTGTGGAGTGTTAGGGGGTCAGGCACCCCAGGTCTAACACAGGGGGTCTCTGGACCCTCTTTCTGGAGCTCAGCTTCAGTCTCGGTTGGCCTTTGGCCCATCCAACCTCGAGCCTGAATCACAGAACAGGGAGAGGGGCTCAGCTGGAAGTCACAGAGAGCCCAATGCAGAGCAACCTGTCCTGGTCTGCCAAGACGTGTGCAGTGTTCATTAAAACAGCATCCAGGCTGGACACGGTGGCTCAGGCCTGCAATCTTAGCACTCTGGGAGGCCGAGGAAGGAGGATGGCTTGAAGATAGGAGTTTGAGACCAGCCTGAGCAAAAGTGACAGACCCCAACTCTATTAAAAATAGAAAAAACTAGCTGGGCGCGGTGGCACGTGGGGAGCCCACGGCAAGAGGATCACTGGGACCCACTTGTTTCAGGTTGCTGTGAGCTATAAGGACACTACTGTAATCCAGCTTGGGGAACAGCACAGGACACCTGGTGTCAAAAAAAAAAAAAAAAGGAAGGACTTAAGTTGCCAGCTGAAAAATCATTAATAGTTTTTGATACTAGATCTTTACATGAATCTTTGGTAAATAGCTTGAAATTAGAAGCTATTACATATCAAAATCTTGTTAATTCCTAACTAATTTATGTGATCAAGGTTTCTCAACTTAAGAAACAGAACTAGAATTGATGCTGGAATCTGTACCATTCCAGCAAGAGGCCGAGGCGGGAGGATCACTCAAGATCACGAGTTTGAAACCAGCCTGAGCAAGAGCAAGACCCTGTCTATACTAAAAATATAAAGAATGAATTGGCAACTAATAAAATACGCATAGGCCAACTATATGGGCCAACTCAAATATATAGAAACAAATTAGCCCCGGCATGGTGGCGCGCGCATGCCTGTAGTCCCAGCTACTCGGGAGGCCTGAGGCAGGAGGATCGGCTTGAGCCCAGGCAGTTTGAGGTTGCTGTGAGCTAGGCTGACAACCACGGCACTCACTCTAGCCTGGGCAACAAAGCGACACTCTGTCTCAAAAAAAAAAAAAAAAAAAAAGAAATGGGGACACATCACAAAGCAAAGCAGCCCTGTAGCTCACACATGGGAAAGAACAGACATGGCAAGGAGACCTCAGGTCCCCAGTGGGGCAGGAGGAAGGGACCGGCTGGGAAGATGTCAGGGTTAGGGCTGTCATTACTTTTTCCTCAAGAAAAGAGATGTGCACGTGTACACATGCTGTGTGCGTGTCTGTGCGTGTGGCACACGCTGTGTGCATGTAGCTCAGGACCAGGAGAAGCAGGCAGAGCTGCCAAGACAGAGGGAGGACAAAGAGAGAAAAGAAGACAGGGCGAGAGACAAGAAGGAAGCCATGAAGAAGAAAGAAAACAAAGAGTAAACACACCCACTGGGCTGTCCCTCCGTGCCCAGTTCCCCACGGACCCCAACCTGAGAGGGACAATGCTGCTCCTACACAAGCTCATCCTGGTCCGGCCGGGCCTCAAACTTGCAGACGCCCAGAGCCGACTGCACCTCAGTCCCCATGCCAGGTGCCTCCCCACCCCCACGTGGGGGACAACAGGGCCTGTGCTCAGTGGTGTCATCACCAGGCACAACAGGCAGCTGTTCACACACAAAGGCCTTCCCAAGCACAACGGCTGAAAATCCTTCTGTGGCCATGCTCAGAGGGCCCGACACCGGCCTAGAAACTCCAGTGACACCCAGGACCCCAGGGCCTGGGAGCCTCTGGGCAGTCCTCAACACGGCTAACAGAGTCATCCACCTCCCCGTGTTTACTGGCACCATGGAAAGGGACTCGGGCTCAGGCAGGTCACCTCCTCTCTGCCCAAGGGATAGAACTGTCCTGCTACAGGTGTCCGGGTGACCTGAACAGGGAGGCGAACAGCCACAGAAATGAAATCCAGCCATCTCTCCCTCGGGAGGCCTCAAGAGTGTCCAGTCAGAGCCCCGTTCTCCTCACACATGGCTGCGGGGGAGAACACGCGTGTTTATCATCTTTTTCGGATGAGAAAGCCAAAGCCCAAGGCCATGGGGCAGAGGCTGTCTCGGGGACAGCCAGCGGAGGGACGGCGCTGCTCCTTCTGCACAGGCCACAGAGCGAGCCAGGCAAACTTCCCGGGCTCCCTTTTGCCTGCTGCACTCGTAGATGGCAGTAAACACGCGTGCAATCAAGACTGCCAGACATTTTCAACAGGAAGTACTCTAAGTTACTTGAATGAACCAGCCTTGCCAAGGAACGAGGCGCCTCCCGAGGACGTCGAGTAAGAAGGCAAAGCAGGGGTCAGTCCGGCGGGCACAGATGGACTCTGGCTGAGTAAAAGGGTCTGGAAGGATCCACACCAGACTGCTGTCAGGGAATTGCAGAGAGTGGGGGAGAGGGGCAGGCAGAGCAAAAAGGGGCCTCAACGTCCTCCCTGAAAACATCGCACAGCTTGATTCTTTCTCAACTATGAGCTCAGGTTTTTAAATCCAAGTTTACCAGAGACCAGAGTTCGGGACCGGTCAGGTCAGAGTTGTCTGGGCCCCTGAAGAGCATCTGTATGCAAAGCACCAGCCCCTGGGACAGCCCTGGCAGAAACAGGCCAGGCTCAGAGCCGCCAGAGGGCCTTCCCCAGGACCCTCAACGTGGGGGACGTGCGGACCCAGGCAGGTGCTCCTCCTCCTCCCCCGACCGAGGGGACAGTGACTGCATCTTGGCGACAGGATCCCCGAGTCCCCATGAAGGCTTCCAGGTGCCCAACTCAGGGGCCAGGCAGCCCATCCCAGTAGGTTCCAGGTGACCCAGGCTCCTGCCTCACCTTCAGATGCCCCCAGCTCAACCATCCCC